TTTTTTTTTTTTTTTTTTTTTTTTTTTTTTTTTTCATTCATGGGGATACCATAACCTACATCAGACGTTTCCGGGTTAAATCAAGCCATAGATGCTCTATATAGTTAAAGTCCTGAACAGCAAAGGAAAGTAAAAAGGGAAAAGAAAATGAGAAAAAAGGGCTCAGACGCTTAGAATAGATGGGGGGAGGTGTTACAGAGTCAAGATCGTTGAGTGCTTATTGACGAAGTGCCTGGGGGAATAATAAAGGGGGAGATCAGGGAAGTTGAGTTGATAACATCTAAGAATGAACCCAGAGGCTCGGCAAATCCTCACTCTTCGTCTCTGGATATTCCGTACCGCTCATAAAAGTGGGGTGCGGTTTTCTTCTTCATTAGGGTATATAAATCCGGCCATCGAGGCCTCAAGAGTGTCGTGAAGAGCGAGGAGACGATTCTGAAAGGAATCAAGATCCTTCCATGACACATCATTCGTGGCTTTAGGTGTGTCGTTTGGTAAGCTGGGGCTATAAGTTGTCGGCAAAGACTGGCTATCATCAACCTCAGAAGCAGGGGTTTGTTCTATCTTGAGCTTGTCGTGGCCTGTGCTCTGATTAACCAAAGTTTCTTTTTCCAGCCAAAACTCATAGTGCTTGATAAAGCTTCCATGAGTTGTACAGGCTAGTGAAAAGGATGGGGTCATCTCACTGCGAGGTGACATCGTCTCTGGCCGAGGAGACAAAGTCGAGCTTCTATCTCTAGCATCGGGCTCGGGCGTATAGCAACTCATATCGGATGGAGTATCTAAATCTGTATAAGCAGCTGATGCAACGGATACGGGATCATATAGAAGTAACCTACCAGGCTCGGGGCTTGACCGATGGCTCAGCGGTTGGGTTTCGGGTTGGGAGTGAGGTTGAAGTTGAGGCGGAGATTGGGACTGAGACTCGGCGCGACCTTTGTTATCCCAGTGAGTACCGTATCTACGGACGAAACGAGCGATGCGTTTCGAATCCACTTCTTGACCGGCGACACGAAATCCAGTCTGTTTTCCCCGGGCAGCTCGTTTTTGTTGTTTTCGAATCATCACATGAACTTCTTTGGCTTTTATATTCTTCCGAATATGCCAGGCTGCCAACCGGTCTTTGTATTGTTTTTCTCTGCGAAGCTTATGCGTTAGGGTTGTTTTTTTATTTTAAAATTGTTCCGATTCGGCCATTTGAAGAAAAAGAAAAGAAACCAAGGAGCAAGACAAACAGGAGCTTTCGCGAAAAAAAAAGAAAATAAAACAAATAGACGGGAGCAACAATGACAAACAACAGGAACACTGTGTATCAATTTTCAAATACATTAACAGGGTCCCAAAGCCCTTGAGATATCCATGGAGTAAATCTAGGGTTCAAAAACGACAATAGAGGTAGGATCGTAGGAGGGATTAGCACTGATGGAACGGGACTAGGGGAACCAGAGTAAGAGAGAGAAGGAAACGGGAGGTCAGTACGATGCATGAAACTTATAATCACGCTCCATGATTCTCTTGACATCTCTGAGCTTTAATTGATTGTCACGATAGAGTTGCTCGATGATCGGACGGTACTCGTGCCAGTCCTCGGATCTGCGGGGGCGAAAGATGGATGAGGAAGTGGATGGCGAAGGCGAAATGGGAGACATAGCGGACGACGGAGGGATGGAGCCATCCATCGTGGGCAGATCTCTAGAAAATACCGTCACTCATACTCTTGCGCCGTGTCGTGGTGAGAATTAAGTATCTCAGCAGGTGTCGGGACGACGATGAGCTGAAACGATGAAAGTGAGGAGTACGACACCAGATAAGGACCGGAGAAAGTATTGGAGGTAAAAGAAATAAAGAAGTCTTTATGTAGTTACAGAAATAAAATCGAAAAGAGAAGAAAAGAGAAAGTAAAAAAGAAAAGAAAGGCAGATAGGAGAGGCGTAAGTGGGAAAGCAGTAGAAACTTGAAAGTCGTAACTAATTAGTTGACGGGTGGTCAAAGCAGCCGCAATGACAAGATTGAAAAAGATGGTCCAACGGAGTCAAGGCTTGGGGAAGTGGGAATTGGTAATAATTATAGCGATAAGTAATAATGGGGGACGATGAATGTATTGTATGTTAGTAGTAAGTAGTAGTTCGGTCAGTGACCGTACGTACATACATACATAGTTAACTAAAGTTAGTCGTGATTAAGAGAGAGAGAGAGAGGAGAGCGAAAAATTAATAAAGAAAAATCGCAAAAGAAAATAATAAAATCATTATCGAGTGTCAGGGCCGGACAACGATGTCGAGGAAATCAGAATCATAATAATAATCGAGTATGCATGTGTCTAAGTATGTTATACGCCGTAACAATTGGTTCCAAGGACTTGGCTTTCGATTTCTCTCACTCCTTTGGTCTTTTTGCAATTTTTCTCCTCTCCCATACTACTTACTACACTCCCGATTTTTTCTCTCTTAAGCTTCCAACCATATCCTGCCAACAAATCATAAAAAGTGGAAATCAAGTCAGCAGTCATCCAGGCATCACGGGAGTATAAATAAATAAAACATCCAAGCGAAACCTAGAGAACAATGGCCATACCGAAGCTCTCTTCGCCCCCCCATACATACAAAGAGATACTCTTACATAGTACGGTAGGACTTCCGGTCCAACGGGGCAACCGAAGTGGTTCGCCCGCTCGGATACGGAGCAGCTAAACCTCCCTAAGAGCTAGCGCTTCCAACTAATTAAAAGTACTGCTGCTGACTGGCAGGGCCGCCTGCCCTTTGCGGCGACTTGCTGCTGGGACTGACTTGCGGGAGGCTCGATCCCTGCTTCCCCGAGCCAATTGAGGAATAGCTGCTTGGGTCCGTGTACTTTTGTCACGTTCTGACCACTGCATGTACATGTAAGTACTGCCCACCTCTGTCTGTGCTTCCGCCAACGATGCCCATAGTACCAAAGTCTAACGAGCTAAGCACCATCCCTGGGAGGTCTCACAAGTTTACCACTTTGGAATATAACGGGTTTGAGACAAAGGCAGCAAAGAAAAAAAAATATAATAAGGGGTGGGCATGAAAGAATAGAAGAATAGAAGAATAAGCAAAAGAAAGAAACAAATAGCAGAGAATTTGAAATAAACCTAGAATCAACAATGCCTTATGTGGGTAATGGAAACGGTAATACCATCAGTCTGCTAATTACAGTTCAGTTGTCGACGAAACATACATGTATGTAGGTTGCAGAGGAAGTATTTTTAATCTACAAGGAGGCATGATTGGCATCAACTTGCCTATTATAGCCACGTTCTGAGAAGTCGAAGGTAAGAAAAAATAATAATAATAATCAACAATAAATATCCACTCACACTGAAATTCAGGACAAAGAGAAGAAAAGAACACTCCAGGCTTGATGAAAATGTGTTCTTACATAACCCCTTTGCAGGGCAACAGAAAATAAAATAGGGAAAAAAGAAAATAAAAAAGTATGAGGAGGAATTACTGTAGTGAAATGCTAGTAAAAACAATTACCAGTGGGAAAGTGATCACTTAGTCTGCATACGCCATTTTCTGCAGGTGCAACATTCGAGGATCATCATTGTCGGTTGTCAGATCACCAAGGTTAGACCCTTCTTTGGCCTTGACATTGTCCGAGATGGCGCGAGGCGAACAGGGATCGGTTTTAGTATTCTTTTTCCTTTTGTCTCCGAGACTTTCAGGTATTGTTTTGGAACGGGGTTTTATTCTACTAATAACGTGGTCAATATGGACGTAAGAACAGAAAAATGAAAATTAAAGAGGAAGGGGAAAACAAAGAAAAACATAGAAAAGTCAAGTAACTAAAATCTACTATCAGAATCTCTGTGACGATTTAAATGTCGCTGGTACCTTTTTCCATTTTCGTCACTACCCTTTTTTTCCCTTTACCTGACTTTTCCATCCTTCAAGAAATCACATTTAATCTATTCGAGCCCTAACTGAGAAAACGCTCGAGACGGTGTGGCAAAGTTCGGGTCATAGGCTGGGGCCTGAGCTCCAAACGTCCCCAAATGTCTCCTCGCGATGGAGTCGTAAACGTCCCTATTAAGTTAGAGTATAACGGCCCCATTATTCTGGTATATTAAATTGTTCGAATTAGGAGTAGCCGCGAGTTTGGTTTTTACTGACAGGTGCGCTAGAGATAGTTGGACTGTCAAAGTACAAGGAACGTCGGCCCGGAATAGCATATTCGGCGGACGGTGATTTGAATTAGTTCAACAGAAAGTAATCAGAGAGGGCGAAAAACAAAGAGACGATTTTGCAATGTAGTAATTACTAACCGACATTACCGACGCATGGACAATCCGCTTGCTAAAGTTTTGCTAGAAATTCTTGTCGAATCCTGTGCATTTTCTGCAGATGGTGAAACCCTTTTTAGTTGTTCTTTTTTTGGATGGAAAAGAATGCCATTCAGGACTTTGCTTCGACTCTTCGGTCAATTTCCCCCTCTCATGTCTAGCTGCATATTTTGCATCTCCTGTTTTAAGGTCGGCAAAACGGTCGACCACACTGTCCCCAAGTAGATCCTGCGGGCCGTACTCGGTACAGACAACAGGACGTGCCAACAGGCCAATGAGCAGCTGACACTAGGTACGATTTTCCTGTGGGTGCGGCATGAAACATGGTAAATGTGGGTAGTATACCTCATATCAAACGCATCGTCTCGACCAGAAGGGACTCGGCGCAATGACACGGCGCTTTGAACATTTAGCACTGGCCCTTTGGTACTTTTGCCACTCATAATCCCTCTCGCATGAAACGCAGCGAACAAGCGTGTCGAATCTTCTGGACACATTCGCGAATTCTACCACCATGTGCAATAATCACAGTGCGATATGATGTGGCGCCCGTTGGGGCTCAAGATTTTCAAAGTTTATGGCCTTCGTAATCCTCCGCCAATTGGTTGCCAATCTTGTCTGACAGATCACATGGGGAAGAAAACGCGTACCCGAGGAAGGGAGAGAACGAGACGAAGAGAAAGACTATCTGTGTGTGTGTTGTGCGTCTCTGATCTAGGTACTGAGACCGTCACTCACCTGACAATAAATAGCATCAGCATCCAGCGAGGGATGGTCGATCCCACTGTCGACGGATGGAGACCACGTGAATCAGCATTCTCACAGGTTAGTTCCTCAGCAGTTGCCTTGAGCAGTGCGGCATTTCCATTGCTTAGGTATGTTAAAGGATCTTGAAACGGACTAGAGGACGTAGGTATGCACATGATCCTAAGGGCCATACTAGAAAGAGTTCTTTTCTTACCACACATTGGGCTGCTTACACTCTCGGCGTTTAGTCTTCACTAGAACATCGAGGGTAGTCTCGACTATTAAGAAATTGTATTCTACGAATTCTAGAGGGCATGAAATATGACATGGCATGATATTTTATTTTTGTCAGATTGTATCAGAATGGCTCTTTTACTATTCCATTACACATCTAGACATGGTATGTATAACCAGCCATCCATAGTGTCCAATGGTCAACCTGCGCAAGCCCTTTGTAAGTAATAGTCTATGATCTAATGCACAGTGACCAGCATCTACTTTCACCTCTAGATGGACATACCTCCCAGGCTGCTACACAGTATTGTTGGTGTCCAGGGTACATGGACACATTTTCAAATAATTCAAGATACCGCTGATCTCGCTGCGAATTGTTTCCTTGTATGGAAGAACCAAAGTAAGGCTGATAGGGCAAAGAAAGTAAGGAGTGAAGAAAAAGAAAAGGAAGAAGGAAATTGAGAGGATAAAAAAAGAAAAAGAAAAAAAGCTTCGACCAACGCAGAAATGTTCCCATAAACGTTAGTTCACATCGGGTCCAGGATGGTCATCCCTCCGCCTGCTTTAGTTCAGACATGTGGATCTTGACGGTAAGAAGCGGAGAGGATTCACGAGGTGCTGTTTAGTATGTTTTGGAGGTTCAGCTTTGCTCTGGCCTTCAGGCTCTTGAGTCATGGTCGATTACTGGAGACTTCAGAGTGGAAGAAACATCCAGGCGAACACTACACATGATACGTTGTTTCCTTTGTGTCTCACTGTGCCTCACTATGAACCTATCGAAAGAGTGACGGCACCGATTTCTTTCATTTCAGACCGAGAACTATTGTCCTGCTGTGTAGCATGCTACATATGGAAGGGGAAAGGAGGTATGCCCTCCCCATATCAGATGGATATGTATAGGTTTTTGGTAAGCGCCTGTGCTAATTCATCTGTCATAGTGTTGATATCAGACAATTATGACCAGGTTACAAGGTCTACCCAGAGGGTATGTAATAGTAATAGTGTCCTTCAATCCTAATACATATGTGATCCAACTATCGTTGCCAGAGGTAGAGAACATAAGATTATGTTTAGTGAACGGAATCCTCCCGCGGCGCAACTATAGAGCAGTGGATTAAGGATCGGGCGTGAGTACTAACCTGACTCGACCAAGTTGTATCCAATACCATACAAAACCGTACTAAAAGCTGGGTCTTTTCTTTCTTTCTTTCTAATGTTTTTGTTTTTTCTTTTTTCTTTTTTCTCTCTAAAGGTACTAAGGATGTATGATAAATTATGCCCTAAGTATAGCCCGACCTAGACGTAAGGGCCAAGAAACAACAAAAATGGCAAGGCAACCTGACAGTTACATTGATTCTGTGGCCTCCTTCCTGTCACGCCGAGTCCAGGTTCCCTGTTATTGTGACTCGCAGAGACCGTCATAATTGCTATTTTCTTTAGAGACACCGATAGCGTCAGAAGGGGAATTCGATTGTCAGCATTGCGCATATACTTGTTGGGGGTTTCCCCCCTCTATAACAAAGAAATAGTATAGAAAGGGAAAAATCAGAGACAACAAAGAACAAAGAGGCAAGATAGCAGGATTCTTCCTCGTGCGTCGTGTGCCCGGGAGCGGGCCGAAACATTCCTGGTCGACGTGTAGGATCCACGCAGACCGTCTGTATAACATCGACAGTCCCAACGCCATGGATCTACTGAGTCCGTCTCGAGTTGGCTGATTCCTTAGTGTTCTTTGTTGTCATTACATGAGCATCCCTGTACCGTATATATTCTCTTCCATGTGCCTTGTTGCCCCAAGTACGTTGGCATAGCCAAGTCGAGGGGTTCTGAGCTAAATAGCGCGAAAGAGACCAAGAATCGGTATGCGCAGAGACGAATGTGGATAATCTCAGCCCGTGTTGTTTGTCATGGGAAATAGCGAGCGGTCACATCGTCGCTCTTGGAGGAGCGACTAAGTGATGATCTCCCGCCACCTTTACTCTGTCTAGTGGCGTCAGGGTGAGCCCCGTTGTTGTCACAAGACATATTCCGTCAGAAACCTGTCGTTTCATGCCTCCTTTCTTTTTCTTCCCCTTCCTGGCATTTTCATGAGAGTAAAAGTGATGTCATAGCTCGGCCATATTTCAGATCCAACGAGATAGTTGGGCATAATAACTAAGATACTTCACGATACCGCCAATGATCCGCCGGCGTAAGAGCGGCATGCGTCCGATGCAAGGGTGATGAAATGTCGAGCATTCTGTATGGTCTCGCAAAACAAATATACAGTTAACCCGCCATTAAAGCCGACCGCGGTAGTAACCTTGCCTTAGCAGTAATCACTGAGCTTCTTTCGGAAATGAACATTGGCGGAGGGCTCCAGTATCCAAATCTGTCCATTGTATAAGTTGCCGGAATAAGGGCCCTTATCTGCCCGCAGTGATAGCCTGACACTAGTGCTGGTTGAGAGGGATAAGTTAGTTGCGTGGTTTCTATGGTTCATCTATATTACAGTCTTATTTGTTTGCGGGACCAACTGCGGCTGCAATGTTAGCAGAATTATTGGAGCCAGCGCTGGCAACATTGCTTGCATGGGCTAACAAGAACTTGCAACAGGTCAGTGTGTATTTGCAAGCACGAGTCCAGGTCTCGTCATTATTGTGAAAGCCCAGTTTGATACTCGCATCTCCGATTTTATCTCGTTTGATAGCATATGGAAGCTTCAAGCCCGGGGCGGTCATTCCGGCATGACCTCGGCGATTCGATGGCATCGGAGCTGGCGTGTTCTCCACAAAATCCCCAAGCTGACGTAGGCACTCCAGGAAGGCCACCATTCCTGCATCAAACCGGCGATGAAGCCAAGGAAGGTTGAGTGGCAGGTCACCAGAGGAGAACAAGTCCAGGGTGGTAATCTTAGGCGGCGCCGACGGAGTCGCGCTACCCCCACCGATGGTGGACTGTGCAGGTGATCCCCGTGGATATTCTAGTTTCTCAATTCTGGACATCGACCCCATTGGCCTGAGTTGGTACCCTTGAAATTCAAAGCCCAATTTATCCGCAATGGTGGCCAGCAATAAGGCTGTCTGACCCCAAGCTGCGTTAATCTCCGGCCAGTCTACGGATGGGTTTGTAAGGCGCCCAAGTCGCAAGCCGTTAATAGTTCCAAAGTACCCATCATGGCCAATGCAGAAAGCATCGTTATAAACATTAGTCCTTTGAAGCCTTTCAAGCTGCCGCGAGTCATGGTCGTATCTCATGTTAAGAGCATCCCGCTCATTTTGGAAATCGGCCAATGTTAGAGAAAATGTGTTGCGGTCACGCCAAAACCTTTCCTCTTCGAGGTCTAATTGACGAGCCTCCTCTTCAAGGTCAGCTATCTCTTCATCCAAGGCTGCTTTCTCCTCTTCCAGCGCTACAAGCTCTGCGAACGCTGCCTCCTCTGCCTCTAACATTTCCTTCAGGGACTTTTCAGCCGCTTCAAGCTCCTCAGCCGTTGGTACAGATGAATTGAGATTCCGTAAGAATGAAATATAAGCATCTCGCTCCTTCGTGGCATCTACCAGTCGTTTCTGGAGTCCGTTCACAAGCATTTCCGTGCATTCAGTGCAGATTGGATGGTCAATGTCAGAGCGAGAGGAGATGATTTCAAAGAGGCGGCTCGTTCGCTCGACTTGGTCCGCAAATGATCCGTCGTCTATTTCACGATCAACATTTTGAGTACTGAGGGGTCGTTTGCCTTTCGGGGTACTGTCGCCATTAACACCAATTGCCGCATGCGGTGGTCCGACTTGAGATTCCGTAAGCATAACGAAGGACATGTTCCCACTGTCCCCTCGTCCCAGCCTAGGTGGATTGTTCTGATTACTGCCAGCTTGGCGCGGTGCAGGAATGGATCTTCGATAAACTGGAGACGCAACGTTCTTGGACACACGGTCGTACAGGTCTCGCCTTTCTTGAGGAAACGAATTTCTGGAGGAAGAGGCAGTGCCTTGCTCCGGTAGGGTTTTACCTGTAGAGCCTTAATAAATTAGTTACGCTGTATAAGGAATCCAAACTAAGCAAATCAAATGAGACCATACTGGTAAGCAGATCGAAGGCAGCTGGATTGAGCGACTCCAGAGAGCCATCCAGCTTCAACTGAGTTCGACATTTCTGACAGTACATGTTGGCAGTTGTTTGAAGATGCCCTTCCATTCATTATGGGGACAAGAAATATTATCAAGGCATGCGACGTCTGATTGTTTGCTTGATAGAATTAGGAATGATGTGCGGCACGGGAATCCGTTCGCGGAGAGACGTCATGCGGCGATCCCGTGCCAACGGCGCGTGTTTTGGTGTCCGCCTGCGAAAAAAAGCCGAAACCTCGACCTTTTGGTCAATTTAATTCTGTAGGATGGGCTATCATACAATTAACAATCACGCTTAGCAGCATTGTCGCAAGCTTTGAATCTAAGTAGCTACCTCCTAACACCAAATTGCTTTCCAGTTACGCTGTTTACTAAGACAATTAATTCTTGCCGCATCTTACACTCCAGCTCCATGAGTCGGTAGGTAATACTGACGCTGCCCGTCCGCATTGCAATGTTATCTTTCCAAATGACTAATTTTTTCTTTTGTAGTAGAGTAACGTGTCAATTATCCTTCCCATTCTTCCCTCTATAGCCACACAAAGGCCACAACTAAGCCTCTTCAAGCTCAAAACGTGCTTCTATAGGAACAGCATGACGATGGAGAAACCCCTCAAGAGACCTCGATTGTCCTTTGCTACCAGCGCAGATGATGAGCCAGGTGATATAGACCTACAAGAAGCCCGCGCGCAAAACGATCAACGACTCAAATCGATTTTCGAGGGTATTTTCGAAAAATACGGCAAAGACTTTACGGATGTGGGAGATGAAATCGATTTACAAACCGGAAAGATAGTGGTGGATAACGGACATATTCAAGCAATGCAAGAAGAAGACGATACTGGCGAAGAAGCCCCGTGGCTGTTTGACACGGAAAATTCCGCACTAGACGATGCAGCTACGATGCACAATATCTCTCAATACTCGGAAACAGGGGTTGGTGGTGACCTTTTGGAAGAGGATAACACATATCTTCAACACCCACAAGTAGCAACGCAGCTTCAAGCCGGGTCAGGCTTCGGTGGGCCTTGGGAGAGCAGAGAAAGTGAGGCGTCGAGCGCCGAGTCCGATGTCGACGAAGATAGGTCTAGTGTGGATTCTTTGTTGGATACAGCACTAAGTGTCCAGAATGGCCCGGACGATCCCGTTCGGCAAAAAAACCTGATGGATACTGACGAGGCCGTCACAAAAAAAGCAAAACCTACGGCTGAGACATCCACCCAATCTCAAATCCTGCAGAAACACAGCTCTATAGAAGCGGTGGATTCGGTGTGGCGCGTCCCTGAAATTAGCGGCAAATTCTCTACGCCTCCATTGAGCAGATCACGACCAACGGTTTCTTTTAATGTCGTACGGTCCGCATCTCCACCCGGAGCAGGTTCTATCTGGGCACTGCCCGGGAAGTCCAGGCGTAACACCAGCATTACGCAAAAGAGATCTGCAAAGAAACACGAAAGCAGCCAACGCAGATGGAAGCCTCAATCTAGTCCGATTATGTGCGACTGGTCTTTCGCACAGACACCGGATGGAAACGAATCCGACGATCCCTTACAGGAAAACTATCAGCCGTCACCTACGCCGAAGGGGGGGCTAAAGATTAGAGGCAGAGTAGGACCAGATACTCCGAGTCGCAGGAAGGATCTAGTTGATGACCGCAACGTGTCTCCTCTGCGAGGTGATCATGCCTCTCGGCTCCGCCAGACTTCATTCAACTCCGCAGAAGATCAGCGCAACACTACGGAAGCAGCAAATCAACTAGAGGCCACCGTTAACAAAGTGGCTTTGGATACGCAGCTTGTAACCACGAGTGATACTAAAATTCATGATATCTCGCCTGAAGTTACACACGACCCAAAAATCATACCGACTGGGTATCAACCCAAACCCCAGGACTCCACTAGCCCCAGCAAGCGTACCAGAACGACTATTACACCAGATGAAGCGAGACTAATTGTGGTTTTGAAACAAGTGCAGGGGAAAAAATGGAAGGAAATTATAGACCGTTTACCGTGGAAGAAGCTGCCGCAACTTGTCCAATGGAATCACTTACACTGGAATGAGCGCCGGGCGAACCCACCTCCACTGTCCAAGCCTTGGTCGAGTACAGAGCGAGAGACTCTCCATGACCTCAAGGACGAACGCGGCCTTGCATGGCATGCAGTACGCGCAAGATTGCCGGGGCGATCTATCGCGGAGATAGAATTTGAGCTCCTGAGACTCTGGGTGGGCGATGATGTTTGGAACACCGAACAACAGGATGGGACTGCAGCATCTTTCACCATGGATCAGTGATTAGATGGATCCGAGGTCCTCTGTTCTGAGCCACAGCACAGCCTCTCAACAGGAGCGGCGAGGATCCGGGCCACAAGATCCGTCAGGCTGCCCCACGGCACCCTACTTAGGAAGTCATTCATAATCTAATATAAAGGCGAATCAGTCGACTCTCATTTCCTGAGGTCTCGAACGTCGTGGGGCATTCCAACCTGCAGCTGAAACCCAGCAAGTGAAGCATGCTAGCATAAGATCAGGTATTACCGGTCACTGGAGGTCAGAAAGTTCCCCGAGTAGCGCCTTCAAAGAGACTGCTAAGTGTGCTTCAGGCCCAACACCCGCTCGGTGATAAGTCCTATATCGCACATAATATAGTGTACAATAGACGAATCTTTATTGGTCATCCTTTGCGTTCAAAACGTCCTCCAGTTTTGTGTCCACCGCCCCGCCGACATCCCCGGCCCTAGCCCAGAATCTTGAAAGATGTCTGGAGCCAGAATCAGATAGGACTGTGACAATTCTGTGGCCCGGACCAAGTTTCATGGCTGTCTTGACCGCTGCAAAGCCTAGAGCAGAAATCAGTAAGCGTAGGGAAAGGTGACCAAGAAACACCTACAATTAACAGCACTACTGCTTCCGATGAAGATGCCATCCTTTTCTACCAGCCACCTGGCCATTGCTAAAGCCTGGGCATCTGTCACTCTAACAGCATCATCAACCAGCTCCTTTCCTGCTTCAAAATTGGCTGTCACACGGTTGATTCCAATACCCTCAACAATAGTGTCAACTTGCCGCCGTCTTCTAGTACCTTCTTTCTCCTTTAAATCGAACATCACGCCATAGCGGACTCTGTTGTAAAGTCCACTGCCCTGGGGATCCGCAAGCACAACACTTAAATGAGGAATTCGCGGCTTCAGGAAGAGCGCTACACCAGAAATTGTGCCTCCGGTCCCAGCTCCTGCAACAAATGCATCAAGTCTTCCGTTGCACTGAGCGTAGATCTCGGGGCCCGTGCCGTTGAAATGAGCCCTCCAGTTAGCTTCGTTCTCAAATTGATCTGCAAAGAAGCCTCTCCCCGCTTTGGGCCCGGGAAACTCTGGGGGATCGGGCATCAAAGGCTCTAGGTTTGACTTTGTAGTAGAAGTGGCTGTATGAACATTGGCGAGGGCGCGTGCTCGATTGACAAAGTTTTCCTTTTCCACAATTGGTGCAGGCGGAACACGATCCACAATTGCGCCGAGTTTGAGAAGCAGGTTTGATTTCTCAATGGCTTGATCAGATGGCATACAGCTATGTTATCATTAGTTCAAGATACAGCGGATTAGAGGTGAGAAGTATATAGGCAATATTACTCACATATGAGCCAGATAGCCCTTTGCACGGGCTAGAGTGGCCAACGATATGCCAGTTGAACCAGAAGTGCCTTCGTAAATTGTATCTCCAGAATGAGGTGTCAAGATGTCTCGTTCCTCAGCCTGGACGGAGATTAGGACAATCTATAAATAGCCGAATAATAGAACATACCAGTTCGATCATGCTCAGTGCGACACGGTCTTTGGAGCTTTGACCAGCTCCATTCAAAAACTAGCACTAAGTCAGCGAGCGTTCTATGTATGAAAAAGTATATGGAAAACATACTTCAGCCTTTCCCAGTATCTCACATCCCGTAGCTTCGGACAAGGACTTGATTCGGAATAAGGGAGTATTCCCTATGCAACCCTCAATCCCCTCCACAATCACAGGAGGCCCGGGCCTAGCTGCTAGAGCATCTACAGGAAGATCCTGTAGGTCACTTCTGGACTGGTCATGACGTCGAGCTCGATATTCTCGGAGGCGTTGTTCTAACTCCGGATATAGAAGATCCTTGAATCCGAGCGTCAAGAGGGCCCCAGCAATGAAGGCCGTGCCTATGTATACATGCGAACGGTCATTCATATTTGGAATTGGGCAACCCTGAAGTAAGAGTAAACCTTTCTTCAATGACCGCGAGGAAGAAAGTAACGCAATTGAAGGTCGCGTGGGAGGAACACCGGAGAAAACGCTCGGGCCACACCCGACGTTAAGCAGTTGCAGGTCGTTTCTCTGTCTTGCTCTCGCATCGCAACTTGCGACTCCGGCTAGCTCCCCTCCACTGCTATCAATTCATCTGCCCATGGACTCCCCAGTCCTCAGTCAGCTGTTCCGGCAGCTGTTCCGGCATCCTGCCTGTCAGTCACTTCGGTCCTCATCTGCCCTCGCAGGCCGCAGGCCGCAGTACATTCGATTATCCACACCACGTCAACAATGCCGTCCTTTTCTCACGCGACGTTCGGCAGCCAAGCGGAAGAATGTCGACGACGGCATGAATTGGAATAAACGGGGCGACTACCCGAAAGATATTGAAGAGGAGTTGAAGGAATTCCCGCTTGTTACAGCCAAAGACCTGCGTCATCGGCGGGAGCGGCCGCGACAGGTGAAGATGTTGACTAGAGAATTCATTGACGGTATGTTCTCACCAGTGCACCGCTAATGCTGAGTACTGTTACTCATGATCTTTCTAACATCACCCTAGACAGTCTATATAATCCCCACTATGGTTACTTCTCAAAGCATGCGACCATTTTCAGTCCCGGGGAACCATTCGATTTCAACAACATTGAGGACGGGCCAGCGTTCCATCGGATGTTAGGGGACCGGTATATAGAATTTGAGGACCGCTTGGATGAGACACAACCGGATATAGCTCGTCAGCTGTGGCATACACCCACGGAACTTTTCCGCCCCTATTACGGAGAGACGATCGCCCGGTACCTGGTATCGAACTACAAACTGACGCTGTACCCCTACCACGATCTAATAATATACGAGATGGGCGCCGGAAACGGAACCATGATGATCAACATATTGGATTTCATCCGCGACACAGATTACGAAGTCTACCAGCGCACCAAATTCAAGATCATCGAGATTTCGTCCAACCTTGCGGGACTCCAAATGAAGAACCTGATGGATTCGATCAACGCCGCAGGCCATCTGGATCACGTCGAGATCATTAACAAGTCCATCTTCGACTGGGATACATACGTGCACTCCCCATGCTTCTTTCTTGCCCTCGAGGTCATCGACAACTTCTCCCACGACGCGATCCGCTACGACACCGCGACGGAACTCCCCCAGCAGGGCGGAGTGCTCATTGACGCGGACGGCGAATTCCACGAATACTACAATGCGCAGTTGGACCCCGTGGCCTCGCGGTTCCTCCGTGTGAGACAAGCCGCTGCACGCCGCGAATTCCCTAGTCCGTTAGGCCCCAGGCTCACTCGCGGTCTGCGCAAGTCCATGCCCTTCCAGCGCCCTTTCACTCTCCCGGAGTATATCCCCACCCGACTCATGCAATTCTTCGACATCTTGGACACTTATTTCCCGGGACACCGGCTCGTCGCCAGTGATTTCAGTAGTCTTCCGGATGCCGTTCCGGGTATCAATGCGCCCGTCGTGCAGACCCGGTACAAGCGCCGGACTGTGCCGGTGTCTACTCCATTTGTAAGTCTTTCTTACCTTTCTATTGTATAAATATATTGTGAAGAATCAATTACTAATGAAATTTTGCGCAACAGGTACATCAGGGATACTTTGATATCTTCTTCCCTACGGACTTCAACGTTGTCGAGGACCTTTACCGGGCCACTACCGGGAAGTTAACTCAGGTTATGAGCCACGAAGACTTTGTACGCCGCTGGGCATATATCGAAGACACTGAGACGAGAAGCGGTGAGAACCCGCTGTTGACCTGGTACAAGAACGCCAGCATGTTGATGACGGTATAATGCATTGACACTGTATATGTGTTCGAAACGAATGGAAGCATATAAGTAGAAAGCAAAGAGAAACATATTCCCCGGTCTCATATATTGCCATTGTATCCATGATCATATATACAGTAAACACGGCCCAATCACCAGAATTCCATTAATCGATATAAAGGGCCCTATTCTCAACAAAATTGTCCCAAATCACAGTTTAGCTTGGCCATCTTGGGCACTATTTCCCTGCCATGCGAAACCAATCTTCTTCCCGATGCCAGGCTCAACAATAAGGTTTACCACCGTGACCGTATCATTTGAGAATCCCTCGCGCGTAGCAGCTTCAAGTTCTTCCTCGGTACGGACGAAGTACCCCTTTCCACCACACATGGTGGCCAGCATTTCGTACCGAGTTTCGTACAACAGACTAGTGGAGCGTAGTCCCTTCTTTCCGTCGTCTGATTTCGTGTCGTTGGCTGCGGTCTGATCCTGCAGGGTCCTCCAGGCATCCTCTGTCGTGGTGTCTCCGTGGTAGATTCCAGAGTTGTTGACTACGTATATCAAAGCTGGAATTCTGTAGCGTGCTAAGGTCTCGATTTCCATGGCGCTGAAGCCGAACGCACTGTCGCCTTCCAGAGCTACGATCTTCTTGGGCCTGGTGGTGCCCGAGGGCGCGTTGTATGCTTCGTGGGCTGCGACAATGTATCCCATGCCAACGCCCATGGTGGCATATGTACCGGCATCAAGACGTTGACGGGGATGGTTGAGAGGGAACATCGAACGAGATATGTCCATAGTGTTGGCACCTTCTGAGACGTATACGATGTTCCCTTCTTCGAAGGGGGTCAACGAGTTCAGCGTAGACTTGATAATATGATAGGCGCGTTGATACGTCAACGGGGTGTTCTGGGGGGTGGGTCGAAGTGCCGCTTTCTGGGCTTTTGCTTCGTTCTTCTTTGCTGACTCGGCCAGGAGTGATGGGAACTGGCCTTCGGTGGGAGAAGGAGCGTACCGCCAACTTGACAGTGATGATACCAACTGGTCCACAACTAGTTCGATGTCTCCCACGATACCTAGCTCTGCTGTGCCGGCATTACGTCCGATCTCCTCCGCACAGATGTCCACTTGGATGATCTTTGCTTTGGGGGACCATTTGGGCGCTTCACCGAAGTGCAAGATCCAGTTTAAGCGAGCGCCGAGGACCAGGACTACGTCGGCCTGTTTCAAGGCAGTGCTGCGTGCACTGGATGCATTCAGTGGATGGGAGTCCGGCACGACACCCTTTCCCATTGGCGTGGGCAAGAAGGGGATCTGCGTTTGCTCGACTAAGCGTCCGATTCCGGACTCTGCTCTGGCATATGCGGCGCCTTTGCCAATGATTACGAGCGGCGAGCGTGCCGTCTTCAGCAGTTGGGTAGCCTTGAGGATCAATGCTGGGTCGCCGCTCGCCTTCGGCGGCGACGGGACCAGCAAGCGTTCTGGCTCTGGCAGACGAAACCCTGGGGCTGATTTGCCTTGGATGATGTCGGCAGGTAAGTCGACAAAGGTCGGCCCGGGACGACCATACCAGCAAGTCCTATAGGCGTTTTTTACAGCACCTGGGATGAAATCAATCGACGACGCTCGCACAGCGAACTTAGTATGAGGTGTCAGGAACGAGATGGCATCCATCTCTTGGAAGGCTCCCTTAGTTACAGCGGTCGTTTCGGCCGACCCGGCGAGAACAAGGAGTGGGAAGTTATTCGCGGAGGCATTGCCAATCTATCGAGGTACCGACGGTCAGTACGAGCCGGACAGTGCTTCAGATGCGGAGATGGACTTGCCCCCGATAATGCGTGGAGAACACCGGGCCCTCCTACGACGAGACAGACACCTGGCCGTCCCGTCATATACCCATAGACGCTGGCTGCATAGCTGCATGCCTGCTCGTTGCGGAACGCTACAAAGCGAATGCCCAGGTTGATAGCTTCCTCGGCGATCTCCACCACGGGGATTCCTACAATGCCGAAGATAACATCAACGCCCACATCGCGCAGCGTCCGAGCGATCAGTTGAGCACCTGTTGCCACGGCCATAGTCGTTATTTCTTCGATTCGACTAGTTTTGAAAAGATATCATAGACTGAAATTCGTCCACATGGATGAAAGTTGGCTTGCTCCACAATGGCGGGAAGCGGAGAGCGGCGAGAATGCGGAGGAGCTCCAAAGACAAGCTTCCGAGGCACAGATCACGGCTGCCTGACTCTCGGCAAATATCATCAGCCCTACTAACCTACTGAGAAGCTGTGTGTTGAACTCCACCCTTCGGTACATCTTGAATATTTCATATCTATCCCAAGGAACACAGAGTCATCTATCTCAGAACCTTTCATAAGGTCTTTTCCACTGTTTTACAAAGATCTAAAACCCGAAAGCGCTGCATTTTGACCCATATATGGAGAACCATGGTATCCAACATATCAACAGTGACATAAACCGTATAGACACCGCATTCTAGGTTCAGCCTAGAAAGAAAGGAACACGCAACTCAAAGAAAACGAAATGGCATCATTTAAAATTCAAATTCCTTTCGGAAGACATTCACATCCATGCCAGCCACGACCATGTCGGCCAAATCCCGACGTCCCATTTGGCTGAACACACGCCGCAGGGTGTCGTACAAGTTAGTGCTCTGGTTCTGGCTGATATGAATCATGCGTTCAAGCTGTTCATCGTCGACACCACCATCGCCGCCGATAATCTCACGGGCGCGTTCACGGCCTTCCTGCTCGACAACACGGTGCATGGACAGCGCACCCAACAGATGCTGAGCAGCTTCTGGGTAGCAACCGATATTGATGCATGACACGCCCAGATTATATCTTGCGCGGACAAAGTTGGCATTAATGTTCAGGGCTTGCTCGTAAGCTTCGATAGCCTCCTCAGAACGACCCGAGTTGGCAAGAGTGGCTCCGAGACGGTTCCACAGCAGATGAAGCTGTTCCTGTTGGTTTACAGTTCCCGACTCGGTGGAGGCCAGGGCGGCAGAGAAACAATCCACAGCCTTTTCGTACTCCTCGGCACAGTAGAAAAGAACACCTAGGCCGACCTGCACATCTGGGTCCATTTGTTCACCCGAAGGCGACAATTGAGCTGCCTGGATAAAGAAGTCGGTGACTCGGTCGTGAAGGATCTGGCGATCTGTGAATCCTAGGTCTGCATCCGATGAAAGATCCTTGGGATTAATGATCTGCGGATACTTCACAGAAAGCCAACGTTCCAGTGTGCGATAAGCCGTGGAGTCATAGCCTTCATTTGTGTAGGACACGGCGAGCCCCATAAGCGCATCCAGGTTATTCGGGTCCACCTTCAGAGCCTGTTCCAGGGCACGGATGGCAGGGAGTTCCTTTTCGTTCTGAGCTTGAGCAGATCCCAGCATAGTCCAGGCTTGCACATGTTGAGGATCCTTCTGTACCGCAGCTTCGAAAGCCAATGCAGCCAAGGAGAGGTTACCTCCCTCGCGCATGATCTTCACACCTTCTTCAAATGGATTGTTGACATTCTTGAACATGTTTTCTTCTTCAAACATGTAATCACCCAGCTGAGGGTCTCGGAAACGAGTGTTGAGAGAGTCAAAGTTATCCCACTCTCCCATATCTCCCATGTGTAAGCTATCAGTAACATTAAATTCGGTATCTTCTTCTGCCAGTTTCCTGCTTGCTGTCGTCTCAGCTTGAACTTTTTGCCATATGTTTTCAAAAGCATCGTAGTCTGCTTCTTTACTAGTGCTGGAGGTGAAGACTGACCTGTCAAGATCGTTCAGTTCCGCCTCAATAGCATCATTAGCCTCATCATCCAGCTTCTGAGTGTCCGCGGTCTCCATCTCAGCAAACTGTGCCTCCCAGTTCTCGTCGTCCAATTCGACCATCCGTCCCTTGCCCTTATCTTGCGTCGTGGCCTCCATCGGTTGCTGCTGCATCGCCATAGGGTTATAAGCCGAATGCATCATACCCATGCCACCCATTCCCATATAGCCCATACCCATAGGACGCTGGAAACCCGACATCATCGACGGACCAGAAGTAACCGGATTGGCAGTCTGAGGCACGCCAGTTCTACTCTGTTGTTGGAACCGCGCAAACTCCGCCGGTGAGAATCCCGAGCCATTATTCATCATGGGTCCCTGAGGGCCGGCAAAGGCAGCCTCCATGCGAGCCTGCTCACCGGGGTCAAACTCGGCCGCCCAACCCGGAGAGCCAGTCCGAGGTGGCGTGGTCTGGAATTGGTCTAACTCGCGTCTCAAGTGTTCCATCGCAAAAGGCTGTGGCGCGGCCCCGGGGATTTGGCCAGGTTGTTGAGCAAACTCGTCCATCATCTGCGTCATTGTCGGGCTACAGTTAGAATGGGCGGGGGGTTAATGAGACGGTGTAGCGTTCAGCTCGTTCATACCTGATCTTGTCCACCCATCATTCCCATCGACCGCATGCCCTCTTGCATTCCCCCTGGGCCCCTCCCAACGAGCCGATCCCGCTGGAGGGACTTGTCATCTTGTACGTGCTTTGTAAACTGTGTCAACGGGTTTCCCGCTGTAGAACACTCAGCGCCACCGAGGAATGACATCTTCAAAGTAGTCTATTGTAACCGTATTTCAATATGACATAAATAGTGGCTAGTTGTCGGATAGATCGTCTATCATTGAATGATGTCCGGGGAAGTTAAACGGAAAATGAGGAGTTATCTCCACGATTCAACCGTCTCTGATAGTCCCAAGCGTGGGGTGTCGGAGCCGTCCTAAAACCGATCGGAAAGACTGGCGAATGCCGAGGCACCCCGGTAGTCACGTGTGGCCGCGGAGGTTCATGAAGATTAATAATATTTGCCAATTCTGGACCCGACCGCTTCATACTACTGAATGGTACGTATCTCACGCTGAAATGCAAAAGATTTGGTATAAGTCTATGTAAATATTGTACAAAGTACAGCCCAGGGTCTCCGCTGCGTATATGATACATAAATCAACCACAGTCCGTCACTATCTGTGAAATCCCTCCCTGCGACAAAACGTCGAGAGTAGTTACGCCAGATCTTGTTAAATCACTCGGCGTTGTTTTCCAGACGATCCGCTCTTCTATTTGATTGACTGTAGTCAAGTCGTAATTTCCTGCCATATGGTGCCTTCCTGCTGAGAATCTCAAATGCCGCCCGTGCACTCTCGACGTTGATGAACTCAGCGTGAACAAAGCCTCTGAAAATGCCAGTTCGACGGTCCACAGATACCCGAACGTCAATCACATTGACAATATCCCTGAAGAGTTCATTGATATCCCGATCAGTCATCTCGAAGGGCATGTTGCCGATATATATCGTTCTAGAGACAGGCCTCAGGTTCCGATGCTGGTCGATATTGTTTTGCGCAAATGCCACGACGACTCGGCGACCCTCGTATACCCGCATGTGCATCGCATCAATTGCACGTCTCGCCGAATCTATGGCGTCGAACTGCACATAACCGAATCTAATACCCAGAGTTAGGAAAAGCCATAATTATTTTCCACATGTGCCGAGGGCAACCCGCACTCACCCTTTACTGATTCCCCTATTATCAAAGGTGATATACACACTCTCCACAATTCCGTATTTCTCCATCTGCTTCCGCAAATCATCCGCCGTCACATCGTAGAAAAGATTGCCGACAAAGACTGTCTCCTTGGGATCGGGTTCCTTGTTCAAAAGCCGGACACGCTTCGCGCGTTTAGATTCTTCTTCGGTAGATTGTGGTTGTGCCTCAATCTCTTTTGAAATATGGTCTGCAGTCTCGTTCGCAGGAGTAGAGGTACCTTCCATGTACCCGACAGCGGCTTGTATTAATTGTTCCTCGTTATCATTTGTGGCTGCTGCATCCTGGCTCGTAAGATTAGGTTGCCTTGGTACATGTTGGCTGTTCCATCTGCTCTGCAGCAGAAATTGTGATGTCTGGCGAGGGATAGTAATTCGAGACGGGCTAGATGAAGTAGCCCATGTGGACCGTGGTGTCGAAGAGAGGAGCCGAGAAGCAGCGCGCCGGAAGCAGTGCCTAAGAAAAGTATAGGTTAACGACACATATTTCGCCTTGCTTTTTTCGTAACTCACATCTTTAGATAACAGACAGCCAGTAAGCCACAAAAATAAATTCGAGATGAGAATTGCACATATGCCCATTCGAAGGTTTTCCGCGCAAAAACCTCCGGCTTATCGAGACCGATAGTGTCACGTGATTTACGCTATCGATTGCCTGATTTTAGAAGCATACTCCGTAAAGTCTCTAGCAAGTTTTAGAAAATAATTTGCAGCCGTGCAATAGGGAGCGTGTCCTCTCGTACAGGTCTCACATTTCGTGAGGCTCTATATACTTGTATCTAGAGTGGAATGAGCGTAAAAGGAGCTACATAATTCATAACGAATATATACACTGGCACCGGTGTCCCCTCATTATCTATACCAGAAACATTGACATAGAGACATGGAACATCGCGAATTGAAATGGCAACTGATAAAACAACCAGCGTTATATTTTACAATCCAGTACTAACCAAGACTTCATGGCCACATTAACGTAATTTCCCCATTCTCAAAAAGAAGACAGGTGAACTCTGAGACAGTATTTCACAGGCTGGCTTAACGTGTGCCCGCATTGTTGGTCGGTGAATTATTGTTCTCGTAAACATTGGCATCGGGGTAAAAGACGTTGGAAAAAGAAGGCAACGAGCGCATTTTGTCTGCAGCACTGCCCTGCACCGATGCTAAACCAGCTGAGGCTAACGCATTCTGGGATTGCGGTTGGGGTTGCTGCTGTTGCTGTGGATCCATTGTTGGCCACCACTGGTTCGAGGCATCAAGCGCTGCATTCTGAATATAGTTATCCCAGGTGTCCTAGAAATTGGTCAGTCAAGCTTCGAAGTCTTGCATTGAATAAGGGATCTATACCCAATCCAGAGGGAGCTGCATATCTGGCATTTGCCCAAACATAGCACTTAAAGGCGAAGGAGCTCCTGGCATATCTGCCATCGCTCCAAATCCTCCCTGTGACGGGAGTGGTGTCTCGCCCATTTTAATGGCGCCATCGCCAAAGGCGGGAGGAGTTGGGTTCATGGGGCTCATTCCACTACTGAGAAGACCCAATGTCATGGCAGCACTTTGCTTCTCATCCTGAGGCTCGAAGCTAGAAGCGGCGGTATTGCTGTCCGAGTAGCCCAAGTTCAGTCGGGCAAGCATCACCCCAATAGCTCCCGACGCTTTCCACGCCTCCAGGGCATCGTCACGAAGTTCGTCCCAGATCTCTTTAGAGCGCTGTACTGCCGCTATCATTTCCTCGCGCCGCTCCCTTCCCCAGGCGTAGGTATCGCCGGAGGCGCGGCCCCCTGATTGGAATTGATGTCCGTGGTAGAGGTCGAGAGAGACGATGGTCGCAGCAAGTAGAAAATCTGTAGATACGAGTGCGGTAAGTCTGTCATGTTTGTTCGGGATGCGCGTCATGGTTTCAGCGTGCAGCATTGATTGGAATCGAAGCAATTCCATGGCAGAATCAATACAGGTCCTCCGCGAGTATGTAAATCGAGGATTTTCACGCGCTCGAACGAGGTATCGTCGATGGAGAACACACTGCGCTTTGTGATACACACTCATTATCTAGAAACGGTCAGTAACCCACACTGCAGCTATTCGTCTGAGGTCAACCTACAGCACATCGTGCCATAACTATTTTCGGGGGCTCCAACTGAGACTCTTCGACAGGGCGAACAATAAGATGTTCAGGGATCAAGTCCCTCGCTCGGCGAAGTTCGGCGTCAATCTCCATAACTTGGTCGTAAGATGGACTTTGTATGGAAGAGGTATACTCAATAACACGACCAAAGGCATATGTTAAGCGACCTTTGGCTATCAAGCATGCGACTGGTGTAGGTTCATTTGGTGGCCGTGAAGGAGGAAGCTCTTTGCAGTTCTCATCAAAGTCATCGTCGTACAAATTCCGTGGAAATTCCGTATCACTATCGGCGGAGCGAATCATGCTGGGTAGGCCCACTTGGAATGAGAACATAAGATCGTACTGCCGCACGATTGTCCATACTCGCCGACGCATTTCGCCTTGGAAAGGTGTGATATTGGGAAACATCTTTGAGTCGCGATGGTAACCCATCCTCATAGCCAACCTAGCAATCACGCCTACAAGCACCCAAACGGACACATCGGCATCTTTTGTTTGAATCCAATCTCCATGCAGATGGAATATCAAGGACTCAATCAAACACGGGTAAGGTTTGGTATAATCAGCCAGCGTTAAACACTGCGCCATCAAGTTCCGGAAGGTGCCTGCCATGTCTAGAGTCTTCCCTCGAAACTCCGGTGGTTCATCTCCCTCTCGATGATACGATAGCATGGCAAGTCGCATAATCGCACACAGCATACCAATCCAGACTACACAGGTTTGTGACGGGTCTTCCCAGTGTTTGTTATACTAATGAACAGTTAGCACCAAACATGAACACATATTAAGAGAGAAGTGTTGCTTACTTGGGCCTGAAATGTAGGTCCATGTAGAATATCTAGAAATCTTTCGTGAGAATCATCCCATGGAGATGGAGAGCAAATAGATAGCGAACTCACTGGTTGAGGGGTCATAGCTGTTAAAATACCGGGCGACTAAGATATCTGTTGTATATTTGGAGGGAAGCGAAGACATGATCTCTGCACGACTAGTTGTTTTCATAGCACCGAAGAGCAATGTGGACCCTGGCACGTCAGTCGGAAGCTTTGTTGCTTTTAGCTTCTCCGCCTGCTCCTCATACTGTTTCTTGTGCGTAGAAAAGTAATTACGCACTTCGGCAATCTACAGTTAACGTTAACACGAAGAACCTAAGTTGATCCTGATGAGAGTAACTTACATCGTTGAGGACAGACGCCCAATGCGCTTCACTAAAATAATATGATTTATTATTGTCGACCTTCATTATCCCAAATGATTTTGTTACTTGTTCTGTATCGCTCTCCTCGGGGCCACCTGAGGCGTCTTCATCCAGATCTAAATCAGTTGTATGTTGGGCAGAACTAATACTGCTGCTGTTGCCAGAGAGTGCTGCCATAGCCGCAGCTGGGCCTGCGGCCTGTGAACCATTGGTCATCAACGACAAAACCAAGCTTTCCAGCCGGTCTATCCTATTTTGCATATCGTCCGGGGAGCTAGGTGATACTCGCTGCGGGGCGTTCTTCTTACGTGCGCTTGCTTGGGCGTAGGTACATGAGGAAGCATCTCCTCGTTTCACGCAGTTCTCACACGGGTGTGCACGGTTACATTTGAGCCTTGGTCGGACTGTCAGAAGATACTCGAAAAGATATCAGAGAGCGGGTACGAATCTTACTTCCTATGTCGGCAGGGGCCACAGGAAAGTGGCACCCGATTTCTCTTTCGGATTACCCTGTACTGTCCTTCAGGCGAAAATGCGCTAGCGTTTGACGAGGTCGTGGATGGCGGGGTTGGAGACATATTGGTGAGCGTTTTCTCAATAAACAAATGCGACGATAAACTTGGGTCGAAATTGATTGCTTCGAATACACACTGTCCCTAAGCGGACTGGCGGAAGACCACAATGTAATAGAGCGAGCTGCGAACAACACTTGGAGTCCCTATTGTTTTGGACTCCCTCCAGCGCAGAGTGTCACTGAACTACCCAATGACAATCGCACTGCTATAATCCTCCAGTTGAGAGCTCACCCCCAATATCCCTCTTAAGTAAGATGTAGCGCCAGAAAAGAGTGACGTACGTCCAATGGTCAATTAGGTATCGCTAGGGTTCCAGCGCAATTGAATCAAACGGTTGTGGGAGGGAATCGAGGTGCACGACGCTTTGCTGATGCCTTCGGCCACGTTTCAGTGGTCGAGTCCTTAGCAACCCAGATCGAAAAGCGATTCAAGCGGGAGGCGATTCTGGAGGGAACTCGTCGCGGTTTTACCCAGCAAAGAGCCCACAGGCGTAAATTGCGCAAGATTTTTCGATTTTAAATATTGGTACAGATGGGAGTTTCTGTGCTCCAATTTGAGATTCGCACAAATCGCAAGCACAACTCGAGAAGGAATGGGTGAGAACGGTCGAGAAGAGGGGCCAATTTATAGGCGACTAGTCAATCTGCCGCGAAGCTTGTTGGACCAAAGACGTCGGGCGGGCAGGCGATACTTATCAGGATCCTTCGGAGTCAGTGGGAAAGTCGCAAGAGAGTCTGCACAAGATACCTTGGGTGCCTGGCGAAGGCCTTCGAATGTTAAAGAGAAGAAGCGGAAGACATACTAACACGAACACTCCCTTCCCGTCGATACCTTAAGCTTTTGCTTAGTGAGAATCATATGAAACTATATGTATGGTAAGTTGCAGGCAAGAGTTATCTCCGTTATCACCCTGTCACGGGTTGGGTCTGCTCACTCTTCTGGAATGATGTGCAATGATTGGACGAGATCTTTATGTAATATCTGTGGGGCGGATACTGGCCGAAAAGGGAAAACAAAGACAGGCCGTCCAGGGAACATTTCCAGCTCCATTTCTATCATTTTCTGGTTTTACCGAGTATTTACCTTTGCTTAGTATGTATTCCGCCTCTGTAACTAAGTAAGGATATTTCTTGAAAATCGTGGAGGGCATTGTACTGCATCTGTCTGATACGAGGTTCCAATCGTAAACCATGTTTGCCAGAATCTAGACTCACGAAGTTGACTGATCTGCGGCGGGCAAAGAACGATCTTATTTGCCAGTGAATATTTGAATGTGGCTGAGACGGATGAGCTTTGAGTCATTGTGGACGTTAGTTTAAGTTTAGTTCCTTCAGAAATTCACTCCAGAGTCCTTTTCCATGGAAGGCTGGCACAGTTGGGTACAGCTGTCAGTGGAGCCACGGGTTCAACGGAGAACTGTATGTATTTATGTCCATACAGCTTCATACCGATATAAATACAGCCAATTTCCAAGCCCTATGTAAAAGAACTTAATACCTCACAGAAGCGACAAGCAATTATTATAGTTCAAAATTGCCTTCCTTCCATAATATTAAACAGCTGCGATAACCTCCCACTTGACTACAATGAAACTTAAATATAGCAAAGACACAAACACCCTTTAGATGGGAAAACAAAGCGTCATTTGCCCACAGAGGTACCGCTGGAAAATACCCAACCCTTCCTGGTGATGTACAGCTCCTTTTGGCGCTTCTGAATGGATCAACAACAGTAGGTAGCCGTTTGTTCCACTCCCAAACGACCACCCAGCAATCATTCCCAAGTACTACTCTGTAAGTATGCCTTACTACCCCCTCCTAGAGGGTACTCCCTTCTCATTGGAACGCCACCTACATCCACGAATGGGCGGCCATAATACTACCCAGTAGTACCACCCATGCAAAGCGGGAACAGCCTTCTCAGTGAATGGACAGCCTATTGTCACATTATGGACAAGGCGCCTTGAGGTGGGGCATAAATCCCCCCCAAGAGCGCTCATTCACCAACTTTAATCCCTAAGTTTACTTGCTCCAACCGCTAGCAGCTACCGTATTTTACTTTTTTACTTAGATGACTCCCGTCCGTTTCTGAGCGCCTCCCCTTATCGACGTCAAGTGATAATGTCTTCACAAAGAGGTGATACACAACGGGGACGGAGCCGAGGGGGCGACCGTAATAGAGGACAAGGCGACAGAGGTGCCAGTCGTGGTGGTCGCGGAGGTGGTCGTGGATCCACCACGGAGTTGCCCATCCGTCAGGGTCCGCCTGGGGGTGATTTCAGAGGTCGTGGTCGTGGAGGGGATCGGGGACGCGGAGATCGAGGACGCGGGAGAGGTGATAGAGGACGAGGTTCGTTTAGAGGAGGTCGTGACCAAGGCCCCAGGATATATACGTCAGTTCCTGCCCAAGAATTCATCCTCATCGCTTTAGCATAAATGCATACTAACGGTCGATCTTCTTTGTAGAAGTCCAGGAGGGCAGGTTCCTCCCCCAAGTCCCCAGGTTCTGAAGACTGAGGATACCTTGGCCGCAGCACTAGCAGTGAAGAAAACCAAGCCAACCGAGTACCCCCAGAGACCCGGTTATGGTACTCGAGGCCAGCCAGTAACGCTGTATGCCAATTATCTTGACTTGAAGTCGGCTGGCGCGCAACTGTTGCGCTACCATGTTGAGATCTCGCCCGATTCAGCGACCAAGAGGGCCCCGGCGGGCAAGAAAGCCCGGCAGATCATTAAACTCCTGATTGAGCAGAATTTCTCCGAGTCGAGTAAGAATATTGTTACAGATTACAAGTCTACTTTGATCGCCAACCTCAAGATACTCGATAATGAGGAGATACATCAGTACGATGTTCGTTATCGCAGCGAGTACGATGACGAGTATCCCGAGAATGCAATGGTCTACCGAGTTACGTGCCAGTTCACAGGAACACTCAGCCCTGCTGAGCTTCTAGCTTACTTAACATCGACGAATCCCGATGACCAGTTTGGTTCTAAGGCGGAAGTGCTTCAAGCAATGAACATCATCCTTGGAAACCACCCGAAAATACAGGATTGGATTGCTTCCGTTGGCGCAAACAAGCATTATGCCATTCGTGGGGACTTATGCGAGAAATGGGAACTCGGTGCTGGGCTTGAAGCCCTTCGGGGATTTTTCATCAGTGTCCGTGCAGCTACTGCTCGCCTTTTGCTTAACATCCAAGTCAAGTACATCGCCTGTTACCAGGAAGGACCGCTGGGCCATGTGATAAAAGAGTATCAACGTGTACACCGTGACGTCAGCAACCTCAGGCGATTTTTAGTGAAGCTGAGAGTCAGAGTGACACATATTCAAAGGAAAAACAAACAGGGAGAGATCGTTCCAAGAATTAAAACGATCGCTGGTCTGGCGACTATCAAAGATGGTGCGTCGCAGGTAAACCCCCCGAAAGTACCCAGATACGGTGCGGGACCCAAGGAAGTAGAATTCTTCCTAGAAGCCCCTGGCCAACAGCCATCCCAGAGCGCATCTGGCGGTGCCAAAGGCAAGAAGGGCAAGAAACCAGCGAAGGCAGGCCCTGCACAGGCCGGCGGATACATCAGTGTGGCCGATTTCTTTCGTCAGCGTAGGTGCTCCTTGCCGATGTACCAAGAGTATAGGACTGACGGACTACAGATTACGGTACGAATGCAGATCCTAACTTGCCTGTGATCAATGTCGGAACAACGGAGAATCCAAGCTACTTACCTGTCGAAGTCTGTGAGGTTGAGCCAGGTCAGCCTGCAAAAGCAAAGCTCTCCCCAAACCAGACCAGAAACATGCTGAACTTTGCCGTCCGCGCTCCCCCGCAGAACGCTGCATCTATCGTCACGACAGGTACTCGATTGCTTGGCCTCTCTCCACAAAGTCCTACCCTTGTAAGTGCTTCGAGTGATACTTAGCCTACCGCCTGTGCGGCCACTAATTGACCTGAGTAGGCGAACTTTGGCATACAGCCAGGCTGTAACCTCATTACTGTCCCAGGTCGGGTGCTACCAGTACCGAATGTATACTACAAAGATGCCTCAAGGCAGTCGCAAAAATCAGTGACAGTGAAGCCCCAGTTTGGCAGCTGGAACATGAGATCGATCAGGTTTTCGACATCGACCAATCTCCCAGTCTGGACTTGGCTCGTGATAAACACCAATGGGCCCAGACCAGCCTTCGCTCGCCCGGAAGACTTCACCGATGCCCTGAGAGGATTCACAGACAAACTGAACGAGATGGGCGTTGCAGCACAGCGAGCCTTCCAGGGTGAAACCATAACTGTTAACAGAGACAATTATGAGGCCGAAATCACGGCAGCAGTTGAGCGACTCGTGAAAATGAAACCCTCCTTGATCCTCTCGGTCCTGCCGTTCAGCGATGCGGATTTGTACAACTGTATCAAGAGAGTATGCGACTTGACACACGGCGTGCGGAACATCAACGTCCTGGCTGAAAAATTCCGAGACGCAAACCCCCAATACTTCGCAAACGTCGGACTAAAGGTCAACCTGAAATTAGGCTGTGCCAACCAAGTCCTGGATTCAAAAGAACTTGGCCTCATCGGACAAGGCAAAACAATGCTCGTCGGCATGGACGTCACCCACCCATCCCCGGGATCATCCGCGGACGCCCCCAGCGTCGCAGGCATGGTCGCCTCCGTCGACGCAACACTGAGCCAATGGCCCGCAGAAATCAGAGTACAGAAGTCGCGCGAGGAAATGATCCAAGACCTAGGCGACATGCTGAAAGCCCACCTCAGGCGCTGGGCCCGCTCACACAAGAACGCCTACCCAGAGAACATCATCGTGTACAGAGACGGCGTATCAGAAGGCCAGTACGAACTAGTCGTCCAAAAGGAGCTCCCGCTTCTCAAGAACGCCTGCAAAGAGACTTACCCAGCCAGCGCAACAAAGCAAGGCCTCCCGCACATCTCCATCTCCATCGTCGGCAAACGCCACAACACCCGCTTCTATCCAACCCAGGAAGGAGACGCAGACCGCTCGGGCAACCCCAGCAACGGCACCATCGTCGACCGCGGCGTCACCGAGGCCCGCAACTGGGACTTCTATCTCCAGGCTCACACGGCGCTAAAGGGCACCGCTCGTCCCGCCCACTACTTCACGGTTTGGGACGAGATCTTCTGTCGACAGCGACCTAGTCCCCCATATCAGAACTCCGCAGATATCCTAGAGGCTCTAACGCATCATATGTGCTATCTCTTCGGTAGAGCTACCAAGGCTGTCAGCATCTGTCCACCGGCGTACTATGCGGACCTGGTCTGTACTCGGGCGCGTTGCTACCTCAGTAGTACTTTCGAACCTTCTGCGGCTGGAAGCGTGGCCACGGGTAGTGGGCCGGGCCTTAAAGTCGGAAACGCAGATGTGCGAATCCATCCTAATGTCCAGGACACCATGTTCTACATATAATTCGGTGCGGTTGGATAAACTGCAAAATAATGACCATCTACTATCGTAAGATGTTGGGACGATTAGACCGCATTGGAAGCGATGTTAAAACCACTTGATCTGGATATCTTTGTTTCGGGCTTACATCCATATGACATGTTATTCTTTCGTTGAATATATGAGCATGTAATCAGATTGATAGCGTTAACATCTCATTATCGAATCTATTCTTTATGAATCGTACACAATCCAGATTGCCATACTCGTAACATGTCAAGCAAGCTAAATGGAACATAGCAGACAAGGTGGTAAGAAAGTAGGTAAGAAAGATACAAGAAATGAATACAAGTATTGTTCGAACAAAATAGACAATTTAGAAGTAAAAAAAGTCTTCCATGGGTCCAAGTCGCATTGGGCAAGGTTGTCACCATGATGACGGCTCGAAGTGCTGCTCGATGAGATTATTCGGTACTGTCGTCAAAGGGTTCGGGGTTCAGGGTTCACGGTACTGAGGGCCAGTTTTTTATCAATCGCTTCACTCATTATCGCCAAGGCTCCAGCTTCTCTCGTTGACACTTCGCAATTGGCGGCGCTGTGGAGGAGGACGAACGGTCTTGCTCGGCTGAGGAGATTGATCATAGGATTCCCATGACGGCTCCAACATTTTGACTGCCCGCTGTCGGTCCGCCGCGATGGGCTTCTTGTTCTCGTCGGCCTTGCTTTTCGCTGGTGATTCATCTGTGATGGTCCAGTGAGTCTCGAGGTCCTTATTGCGGGATGGGCCTTTCTGGGCTACGGACTTATCCTGGGACGACGGCTTGGCGGGCTCGTCTTCATCGCCGAACAGGTGGTTCTTGTAAAGGCTGAGGCCCTTGTTCTGAAACGAACTGATGATTCGGCCTGAACTCTGATCGCCGGTGTCATCTGTCAACTTGAAGTGGGTTTCCGCATCACGGCGGGTTTGGACGCGAGGCTTGGCTGAGGGTGTCTCTGGCTCCTCGTCGCTGATACCGAAACTACGAAGCTCTTGGCCCCGGAGCTGGCGTGTAGGCTTCTCAGGAGTCGAGAAGTCCTCAAATTTCCACTGGGCTCCCTTGCCCTGGCTCGACACTGGGCGCGAGACCTTCGGTTTAATCTCACGGTTACTGTTGTCCGCGCCCAGCTCAAAATGATCGAAGCGCTTGGGGTGAGCCCTGTAAGCGATCGGCTGGGGCTTGTCTTGGGCAGCGACGGTCTCGTCATCATCAAAGATGCGCGAAGCCCGGTAGTTCTTACCCGCACCGACCTTGGGAGCGACCGGCGTGGTGCTGGAGGAGGATGGTCCAGGAATATCGATATCATCGTGATTTCCGAAGAGCTCACCCAGATCGCGCTGGGGAGGCTTAGCGGATGCTGGAGCACGAGGGGCACGCACTGGTTCCGCTCGGTCCTTGCCAGGGGAGAGAAGTTCTTCCAGAGACTCTGCCGCGTACGGGTCCTTGATGCGTCTCTTAGGAGAAATAACTTTGTCGTATGTGTCGCCATTCTCTTCGGGCTTGTTCGCGGGCGCGGGCGCGGGCGCTGGGGCATTATCCACCGGCGCGGAGGAAGCGGCGGTCTTGATCAATCTAACCTGATCTTTTGCATCGCGAATGGGCCAACCGCGACTGCGCGAGCCGATCACTTCGACCTGTTTCAAAAGCGACGCTTGGTCCCAGTAGACCTTAACCTGCTGAATTTGGTTCTGGGAGTTGAAATGAACGATATGAACCTGGCAGCAGCACAATCAACCAATTAGATGACAAGTCTTCGGATTATCAGATTGCGACAGAGCAACAATGGGAGGCACACCGTGGGGAAAGTCGCAATGCGGTCGGACAGGAAGTTATCGTCCAGCGCGGGGAGATACGGTCCGCCACCAGAGACAAATTCCACGGTGGTGTCTACATCTAGAGACAGGGAGTTCAAGCCTTCGACCGTATCAATCACCTGCTGGGACTTTCTTTTGAGGATATGATCCTGTCTGGCGAGGTGCTTGACCACGGCCTCGGCGCCATCAATCCTGGTGGTCGTGGTGATATAGATCAGCGCAATATCGGAAGCCAGGGAAGCAGACCTGGGGTCAGAAAGGAATTTCTGGTACACGTCTTGGAGAGACATGATTGCTACGTTTCGAATTGAGAAGGTCAAACGAGCGTCAATGATAATGTAACCAGCAGAGAATGGGGAGAGTCAGGGGAAGGATCCAATTGGAGAAAGAATGGTGGTTCCTGAGGTAGGATCGGTTTGTCGCAAAGGGGATCGCAAACCACACTTGCTGCCTGTGGCTCACAACAACAAGAAGTTTAGCTGCTCCGAGGAATGGAAACAAAGAAATACTGGAATGACCGGGAAGTTTGATTAATTACGGAGTGAAAGCTGGAGTGGTGGAAATAAGTGGATTTTATTTCAGGAGGCCTGTGGTGGCTTTTTTCATTATTTACCAAGTCGTTATTATTAGATCTTCGATGTATGTACGTATTCACTATCATGGACGGGTTCTTTTCGCTTGCAATGCAACCACTCAATATAGTCGAGGCTTTGGATTTACATGACTGCTTCTCCGCTTCCCCAATGGCATTCACTCTTCCTGCGAGTGGAGGATGTGGCCCTTCCTCGAAGTCCAGGTTAGACAGGACTATCGTAATAAACAAGCAGTTGTTTGACTCGGGGAAATTCAGCGCACGGAAGACGCACCAGTGTTTCACCATCCTCCAATCGGGTTTAGTGGAAACCCTCGGCGGTGTCTCTCTGGAAACTCAATGATACATCAAGCATACCGAAACGTACCCTCAGCATGAGTAGTAGTACGCGAGTACTCCGTATGTACGCCCATGGTGAAATACTAGTACAGACGCACTGATAATTTACCTACCATTGTAGATTCAGAGAAGAGCATACTACTAGTATACAGGGTTACATCCCAGGCATCTCTAGTAGTTGAAGCTTGTTTGGTGTGAAAATAAAAATTGGCCAATTGCAGGTATTCCGTCGTTCAATCTACTTGGGGATATATATATTCATCGTCGGGTCTGAAGGAATCCATGGCACATAAACTCTATCAAGTAAGAACCCATCATGCAGTGGTTTTCCCCACCTCTAAACTCTATCTGAATATTCAATCGTTGATATTGCGCCGTGTACTATGGATCTAGACATAGCAATTCTGATCAACTAAAGGGAGAGTCCACGGATATATACATGTCGACGTTAGACGAACAGATGCCGTGCCATCTACACCGGGTACACCAGCCGAACTTTTTCGAGTCCCGTATGGAGTGATGGTTACTTGTTGATAGGAGATGCCTCGGGGGCAGTGAAGTACACTTCGCATAAATCTGTTTTCTTGCTTTTCCATATACTTACATGTTACTGACGCCTCACATGCTTGTCCGAGACTGGCATCCACCTCCCATGACAGCATATCTACGGAGGTCCGTGATGTCCTCGTGCTCTATTTCAGCTCAGACAGGCTGCACCACCTGCTGTTTGTGTCTGCTGACCAGCAGCGCTCTTTCATCGTCGAGGGACGTGAGAATGTCTTCTCATCTGAGAACGAACATATAACAAGCTGGAGACACTGACTGAGTGTCTTTTGATCAAGCAATGATTGTACCCCCTCGGGACACTTGCTCCTTTCCCGTAATCCCCTTGTATGATGGTAGAAACAGCAACAGAATCTTTTCAAGCGCTTGCTGGCGGTAGTATTGGTATAATCATTAGATGTGATAAAGGTATCTTCTCGTCGAAATTTTTTACAGTGGTCTATAATAGACAAATGCGTATCAGTCATCTTCCCTGAAAAGAAATTGAATGAAAAAAAATGAGGGTCGAAAGCCACATACCCTAAGTAGTCTTCTTTAATGGTTCCAATAGCATTGATTGCGGCGACATCTGGCTTGACACCAAGGATCTTGAGTCGTAGACTTGTCCCTTTCTCAATTACCTGGTCCGCGTGATCTGTGTATTGAGGAGGCACTGTGTTTGGTTCCCACTTGATATCGGAAGGAATGTTCTTGCCAAACTGTTAGTCCCAATATATAAGGTTTCCAGACCCTATTTAACAAACTCACCTTGCGCGCAATGAAGACCGACAGTGGACCCGCTAATGTGAAGATTCCGGTGGGCTTAACAGACGTAACGATGGCATCGACCTACGAGCGCACTGTTAGAATTGAGAGCAAGAGTTGGGTGCTCGCGCTCTTCACGACATACGGTCTCTCCACGGAACGGCTTCCAGATAATAGCTCGGTATTTAATTGTGTACTCGGCTTGCCCGCTGCTAGGTAGAACTCGGCCTTCTCCAATATCTACCATGTCCATCACACAAATCACGAAGTGATCTCCCGTACACCGTCCTTCCTCCTCCTCGTTCAGCCGGTTTATCAGGTACTCTCGCACATTAGGCCCAAAATAGGACGGGTGCAACGTGATAACCTTGGTCTCTTCCTTGAGGAAAAACATGTCGCAAAGATTTGAACCCACGCGAGAAGCGAAGAAAAGAAAGAACTAGCAATCAAATCAAGTATCAGGTCAACAAGCTTGTCCCAATGTGTTCGACTTCAATATTTGGCGGGCGGGGTAGGATAGGTGCTCCTCAAGGTAGATCGGGTGTTCGCAAGAAATCGCTGGAAGAATCCGAAGCAGGCAGACGAAGACAAAACCGTAGCGAGTGCGACAGCAATTCAGTTATGACGTTGTCAAAGCTTGCGATCGAAGGTCAATGACAGAACATCAGCAGCTCATGACAACAATAGCAATGGAAACCTTGCCTCCGACCGAGATAGTCGACGAAAGAGTGCGAGCCTAGAGTGCGTAAAAGGCTGAAATATTAAAGGCAAGAATATCTACCTCCAGAGGAAGGTGGGCGTGAGCGCTGATTGTGAAGAATCTCCAGTCAAGCAATCATGACATTGAGCCTGTGGCCGACTCCAGCATCAGCTGCGTGCAGTCACCTGATCTGGCAGGTCCCTAATAACATCAAAAATACATCAATACCATACGCCGGGCATAACTGCCACAGACACTGCTGCATAAAGCGACGATGGCATGACAATACATTGTAACGGTCCCCGTATCCTCGGCATTCGACTCCCCAGCACATGACGTTTGTCTGGATTACTTTAGGAGACTTACTACGAGTACTAACGGAGTAGCGCATTGGAAAATGTCTGATTCTCCACCTCTTGGCTGGCCTGATCAGGCATAATCCTTATCCAGTCTAACTGGCAGAAAAAGGGTCTCCTGTATGGTTACCTTCAAGCATCGACAATTTCCCTTCGTGGAGACGACAAACCATCGGGTCTGATTACCAATATGGCTCTGAACCTGGAAAAGCAGCTCCTTTTCGTGAGTGCTCTTATCTGCACTTGATGCATTATGATATGCTCGATGATTGGACCACAGCTTACGTTTTTAGTATGGTGCCTACCATTCCAACCCAGTACTTTGCCCTCTGTCTCTACCCCATATGCGATTCTGATCGCTCATCGTTTTGCAGGTAAACGTTGCAATTCATATTACATGTGTGCCGATACTTCTGTTTACCGGAATTGCCCTGGTATGCTTTATTCCCCTTACTTCCGGCAAAAACGTCGTACTTACCATTCGCGATGATCAGGCATCGAATTCTCCGGCCCTCTTCAACCTTCCTGATGTCCTTCGTTTCGAGCACCTGCCCCTCAACCTCGGCACCATTGGAGCTTTAATCTATTCAACATTCTATATTCTACTGGAACCGGTTGCTGGGGCCCTGATCGCACCGATTATCATTGGTGGCGCGGCGTTCGCAAACCACCTCCTGACTACCTATGGCACGGATATGAACTACTGGTTTGGTGGAATTCATGTTGCGTCCTGGTTGCTCCAGTTTGTCGGTCACGGTGCGTTCGAACGTAGGGCACCGGCTTTGCTGGACAACCTGGTCCAGGCGCTCCTTCTTGCTCCGCTTTTCGTTTGGATGGAGATCCTCTTCTTCTTCGGTTATCGCCCAGAACTGAAGGCGAGGTACGACCAGAGTGTTCAGAAGGAGATTGCTGGCTTCAAGGAGAAGAAGAATAAGGGCGGCAAATAAATCAGCCACGCTCGATCCCGAGAGAACTACGGGGCTTATTCTAATAAGTAGTTGGGTAATAATAGCTGTCTTCGAGATGGCATCGATATCAACTGAAAGTGATTGCAGCTGGTTGCTGCGGTGGGATACCTGGAATTATTGCAGATGACTAGAGATTGATTGCCTTATAGGGCAGGCTGTCTAATATTGTTACTTTGGGATAAAGCGCAGCGAAAACGTCTTCCAAATTTAGCGGTTGCGTTGGTTCAGATGACATAGAGGTGCAGACGTATCGTTTGTACGGGCAGCTCCGAGCCGGTGAACGTTTTCAAGCGGTGTACAGATTGTTTGGGAAATGGAGAGGAAAGGAAAATTACTGGTTTAAACAAGGACGTTAAAGGCCCGCGAAAATTGGATCCTCCAGATATCAGAGAGATCCAACAATTTCCTAGAATAGTACAGAGTAGTTAATGGCGGATCCATATGTTTGTTGGCAGGGTCGTCGTCCAGGCGGTTGCTGTGACGAAAATGAACGGGAATGAGTAAGCTGGACTCAGTTATCCGCAGATCCGAGAAAAATACCAGCGAAAATTGAGATGGCCAGGTGGCCCGCAGGGAAACGTCGGGTACCCGGAAAACCCAAAATCATTCACCAACGTCAACAACATGGGGGGAAAGACATCAGAATGGAAGACCTAAATATTTAGACCCTCAGAATTAGAGAAAAGAAAAAACAATATTTTTTATATCGAACCGTTCCGAGTCTACGGGCGTAAGATCGATACGTCAAAGTAATGATGTTTTCTTGGGGCGGGTGGGTGTCCCGTGAACGCACTAGGGCGGCTTCGGAGGTTGCTGAGGCTCGGCAAACTGGGTTTAGTGGCAGTCCTGAGAATCCTCCCAACCCCGACGACAAAGCTCTCCTTCCATCCATCCACAACCCTCTCTCCTCTTCCACCTCCCCCCAATTACATCTCTCTTTCAGAGAAACCACTCTCCCACTCCTCTGAACCCCATTCACAATGTTCAGAAACGCTTTGCGGCAGTCTAGCCGCACCGTTGCGGCTGCCACTGCTACTGGCAGGATCGCTTCGGTGAGTCCTATCCCTACCTGCATCGACGACATCACTTCAATTTCGCCTATGCCATCTCAAAAGTCATCTCAATGTGACTGTCAAGCACATGGCCTTGGATCGCAATACATTTTGTCCTGTTTTGACGCGTTGTGGTCGACGTGTTCTGATGTTAACAAATTTTGCTTCTCCCTTTAGGTCCGCGCGGCTGCTCCCGGTCCCGTCTCTGGCGCTGCTAAGCAGGTCCGTTCCTACGCCGCTGAGGCCAAGGCTTCTCCCACCGAGGTCTCTTCCATCCTTGAGCAGAGAATCCGCGGTGTTCAGGAGGAGGCTGGTCTTGCTGAGACTGGACGTGTCCTTTCCGTCGGGTATGTGGTCAATTCGTCTCAATTGAAAATTCTGGATTCAGCAACAAGACCATCGAAAGTCATCGAAAACCTCGCTATAAACAATAGCACGAATATCTAGAATACCCATGACTGATTCGATTTATCCAACAGTGACGGTATCGCTCGTGTCCACGGCATGACCAATGTCCAGGCTGAGGAGCTGGTTGAGTAAGTAGATTTGATATCCAGGTTTGCACTCGAAAATTGACTAATGATGATCAGGTTCGCCTCTGGCGTCAAGGGCATGTGCATGAACCTGGAAGCCGGCCAGGTCGGTGTTGTGCTTTTCGGTTCCGACCGTCTCGTCAAGGAGGGTGAGACCGTCAAGCGTACTGGAGAGATTGTGAGTAGTAGTCTTTCGATACTAAACGGTGAGAAGTGGAAAAAAATACTTATACTACTCACCAGGTTGATGTCCCCGTCGGCCCTGAGCTTCTCGGCCGTGTCGTCGACGCTCTGGGTAACCCCATTGACGGCAAGGGCCCCCTTAACACCAAGGCCAAGAGCCGTGCTCAGCTCAAGGCCCCTGGTATTCTGCCCCGTCGTTCCGTCAACGAGCCCGTCCAGACTGGTATGAAGTGTGTCGACTCCATGGTTCCTATCGGCCGTGGTCAGCGTGAGTTGATCATTGGTGACCGTCAGACCGGTAAGACCGCTGTCGCCCTTGATACCATGCTGAACCAGAAGCGTTGGAACAGCTCTTCCGACGAGAGCAAGAAGCTCTACTGTATCTACGTTGCTGTCGGTCAGAAGCGTTCCACCGTTGCTCAGCTCGTCAAGACCCTTGAGGAGAACGATGCCATGAAGTACTCCATTGTCGTTGCTGCTACTGCGTCCGAGGCTGCTCCTCTGCAGTACCTTGCTCCCTTCACTGGCTGTGCCATGGGTGAGTGGTTCCGTGACAACGGCCGCCACGCCGTCATCATCTACGATGACCTTTCCAAGCAGGCTGTCGCCTACCGTCAGATGTCCCTGCTTCTCCGTCGTCCCCCCGGTCGTGAGGCCTACCCTGGTGACGTTTTCTACCTGCACTCCCGTCTCCTTGAGCGTGCCGCCAAGATGAACGACAAGCACGGTGGTGGTTCCCTCACCGCTCTGCCCGTCATTGAGACCCAGGGTGGTGATGTGTCTGCCTATATCCCTACTAACGTCATTTCCATTACCGACGGCCAGATCTTCCTGGAGTCCGAACTTTTCTACAAGGGTATCCGTCCCGCCATTAACGTCGGTCTTTCCGTCTCTCGTGTCGGCTCTGCTGCCCAGGTCAAGGCCATGAAGCAGGTTGCTGGTTCCCTGAAGCTGTTCTTGGCTCAGTACCGTGAGGTTGCTGCCTTCGCTCAGTTCGGTTCCGATCTTGATGCCGCTACCAAGCAGACCCTCAACCGTGGTGAGCGTCTCACCGAGCTTCTTAAGCAGAAGCAGTACTCCCCTATGTCCGTCTCCGACATGGTTCCTCTGATCTTCGCTGGTGTCAACGGTCACCTCGACAACATCCCCGTCGCCAAGATCCTCCAGTGGGAGTCTGACTTCCTTGCTCACCTCAAGAGCAACAACCCTGAGGTCCAGGAGGCCATCGAGAAGGAGGGCCAGGTCAGCAAGGAGACCGAGGCTTCCCTCAAGGAGATCATCCAGAGCTTCAACAAGTCTTTCAACGCATAGGTGAGCAAAAGGCAACTTGGGTGATTAGCCAACCGTGTATTGTTTTTTCCTGACTCTATGTGTATAGACAAGATTAGCTTGTACAATTTGAGACCACAGTTTTCTTTTCTTTCCACCGAAGCCTCGGGTTGGTTGAGAAACAGTGAGGGTGTATCATGGGAGTCCTTCATGTGTAACAGCCCGACCTATAAGTAGCTACGAGGGAGGACTGAATAGTTGTGGGGGTAAAAAACTCAAAGCTACGAATTAATATCCTGTACGTTTAGATCCTTTCGCGCACCTGGGGAATGAGATATGAAAGATCAACTGTATGCGTCTCATACCCTTTGGCGCATCATCCTTATTCTCTTTCAATCCACGTTCCCATCCTCCATGTATGCAGCCTGAATATGATTTCCTTTGTTTGCCCATTGTCTGGTGAAATTGTTTGTAGAGTTCTGCGTGAGAGATCGGGAAATGTATCAGGGCTAGACGTATAGTGAAGTGGCGCCTTGGTAAGGTCTCGTCTCAGTCAAACCTAGGTGCCTTTTCTATAGGTAGTGTTTCCTAATGTTTTCTCCCCACTTCGATATTGCCTTGCTAATCTGCAGCGGGATGTACTACGTATAGGAGCAGTACCGTGGACCCATGTGCGCACGGTGCGACGGGATTATTTGGCCAACGTGCATGCTGCCCTTCTTAGAATTTCTGCTGATCCACAGCTACTAAATGCTAAATAGATTTAGGCTCATACATGACTAGGAGGGGCTGTCCAAGTTATGTCTACTCTCTCCATGGTGACTCAGTGGGCCGAAAGCGGCCGTCTTTATCGATAAGCGAGCAGTCTTTTCCGTCCCAAAAATTTCTCCATACCCCTCCGCAACAGTCCACTTGACGCATAGCATTGATAACATTCTCGATCTGTTCAATAGCCAATTCCATTGCTACGCAAATGGCTACTTCTTCCGACGCAGCGCCGGCCACCTGCAAGGTTGTGCTCTCTAAGAATGTCGTTGCTAGCCTCCTTTCTGAGGTTCAGGAAGGAGTGAAGACGCTGGAGAAGCCCCCTCACCTGGTGGGATTCTTGGCCAACAATGATCCTGCGGCACTCATGTATGCCCAGTGGACTGAAAAGACTTGCGAAGAAAAGTGAGCATTCTTTCGTACTTACTCCTTTTCGGGGTTGTGCTTTTCAAGCAACCTGCGATCTCGGCGCCCTTGGAGGCAACATGTTGGAGTCACGCTTCGTAGCTAACGTAGTCCTCTTTTTCTGCAATATACAGTGGCTTCCGCTATTCTCTCCGTCAAACTGAGCGCGAAGACCTCGAGGAAGCTATCCTAGCTGCCAATGTCGACTCGGACGTTGACGGCATCATTGTATACTACCCCATTTTCAACAACCGGCAAGACCAGTACTTGCAGCAGCTTGTCGATGTATCCAAGGATGTAGAGGGTCTAAGCCATCGTTACATCTTCAACATGTACCAGAACATCCGATTCCTCGACCCAGAGACCAAGCGACAGAAATGTATTCTCCCTTGCACACCCCTCGCCATTATCAAGATCCTCGAGTATCTCAAAGTCTACAATACGATTTTGCCCTATGGCAACCGTCTTTTTGGACACACTATCTGTGTAGTGAACCGGTCGGAGGTTGTCGGTCGGCCGCTGGCGGCTTTGCTGGCAAACGACGGGGCCTGTGTCTACAGTGTGGATGTGACTGGTATCCAAAAGTTCACTAGAGGTGAAGGTATCAAAAAGCGCAGACACGAGGTCCACGACTTGGAAGGCAAGACACTGAAGGATGTGGTGCCTCTGTGTGATGTCGTCATTTCTGGTGTCCCCGGGGACAAATACAAGTTCGATACTAGCCTCCTCAGAGAGGGTGCTGTCTGTCTCAACTTCTCGAGTGAGAAGGTAAGTGGTTGTCCCAGGTACATTTACCTATGTTACTGTGACTGATACCACTACCATAGAACTTCGGACCGGATGTCAAGGAGAAGGCCTCTATCTTTATGCCTTCCACTGGAAAGGTGACAATCGCCGTTCTGCTCAGAAACCTACTGGTGAGTGACGCGCTTTGTGAATTCCTCCGAGGCATCATCGAGCTGACCATTTCCCACAGAGACTCATCCAGAACCGGAGATTGGATGACGTGAAGCCTGCTGAAGCCACCGAGCGTCCAGGCACTCTGGAAGCTTCCACCTAATAATCAATGATGCTTGCTCAATAAATTGGGCCGGGAGATGATGTCACTCAGCATCCGTTCAGGTTATAAAGCTTCTATGCTTATTGTCATTCCTATCATCCTTTCTCTAGACGAATTACTATATATATATATATATGTTTTTTTTTTTTTAAGAAGTTGGTTTGTGCGCGGCCGTCAAGCCGACAAAATGGACTCTGGCCATAATTTAAACCGGTATCCTGTGTTTGTCTGCTTGTTGGAACTCTTGGGATAGTCTCTGGCAAATTTAATTCACTACAGATATAAGAATGATGAATGCTGGTCGTTCGCTGAATACATCACGCATAAAGTCCTTTTTACACGCTACAAAAACAGTAAAGAGTAATCAAGTGACTTCTGCAGAAACAGAGGAATGCTGGAATACTCCCATATCGTACGTCCAATTGCCAAATTCCAGAATACAGAACCTGGAGCGCTTATCACATTCTCTAGCTGCTCTAACTGACCTTATTTCTCCTTTGCCGCAAGTCGCAGCACCTGGATCTCGCTTGCTAGCCACTTCTTAAGAGGCTCGGGATGAAAAGTTCCATCTGCAGAAAACCATGTTGTGAAAGATGTCTCAATTTCCTTTTCCTCGAGGACCTTGTTCGCAGACGACGTATACTTCACACGGAGTTTATACAATGGAGAGTGTTTCTTCGCGGAGGAGCGAATGGTAATCTAGCCAAATAAGAATCAGCTTAGCACATTTGATTAGTGCATCCCTTGCGATAGCCTACCGTTTCACCGGACTTGCGCTTTCCACGGAATACCTCACCAGCCTCCACCGCCCAGATCCAGTATGTGAGCAAGGTATTCAGGATAAAGTACGAAACCACGGCCGCTATGACCCATGTTGACTGCGTTGCCTCCCATCCTAGCTTGCGATCGGCGTAGAATGTGAATGCTGCAATGGCAACGGCAGAATAACCTAGTAGGAAGCGGACGTTGGTCTTCGTGTGGTCTTGAGTAAAGGCGTAGGGCTGGGGTAGGGTAGTTAAATGCGGTGCTAGGGCATCGTCTGTTGTTGATTTGAGATCTAGATACGGTCATTAGTAGCCATTAAAATCCCAAGTCACAGTCGAAAACGCATAAATTGTAGGTACGGCGTAAGGTGGTGTTTTCTTTTGTGTATCTACTACTAACCATTGACAGAGTAAACGGGCACTTTGTGTACCTCTGTTGACGCCATTTGTACTATGAGTTTTCAAGTAAAAAAAAAAAAAGTAATATTAAAATTTCTCAAGAAATCAGAGAGTAGTTTAGAGGTTTGGTGGAAACGATTGAGGATGCTTGGTTTGCATAGATGCCAACGAGGAGTTGCGGCGAGCTGGCCCTTTCGAGGAGAGCTGACTTAATGCGATTCGCGCTAGTGAACACCCGCCCCCCAGTCCAATCTCGTGGGGACCGCAAGCCGGGAGCTCTCTTTTTACCTTAAGCATAGCTAAAATCTACCCATTTTTCATTGCTCTCAGTATTGCTCATCATGGCCTTACAAGGGGTCGAGCAGACGATCCTTCGGGATCCAGCTTTATTGTGAGTTTCTGCAATTTCAATCGAATGAGAAAGAAACTGACTTGAAGGCGATTCGCAGTTATTGGATCCTGTTCCCGATTACCATTGTTATGGTAGGTTTGATCAAACGAATCAGTGCAGCATTACATTCGATACTAATTCTTGCATACAGATACTCACAGGTATCCTTCGTCACTATGCTACGGTTTTGATGAACACCCCCCCTAAGCCTGCGTCTACTCTGGCCGAATCCCGCGAGCGTCTCTCACTCCTGCGCGGTGTCAATCTCCGCAATAATGCCCCAGCAGTCCTCTCGAAAGATGCATTTGAAATGCGCAAGAACTATCTTGTCTCTGGGTACCAAAGCGGCGAGTTCCTGAAGGATCCGGCCAGCCGCGGTCAGCCCCCAGCAAATCCGATGACGGACCCTGCGGGCATGGAAGCTATGATGGGTATGATGAAGGGAAACATGATGATGATGATCCCGCAGACTCTTATTATGAGCTGGATCAATGCCTTCTTCTCTGGCTTCGTTATCCGTATGTTTTCGGACTGTTCCGCAATCTACCTTTCGTACTGACGAAGTGTAAAGTCAAACTGCCGTTCCCCCTCACCATCCGGTTCAAGTCCATGCTTCAGTCTGGTGTTATGACTCGGGACTTGGACGTTAGGTGGGTATCCAGTCTGTCATGGTACTTCCTAAACTTGTTTGGTCTTCAGTCTGTATTTGGATTCATCCTGGGTAGCGACAACGGTGAGTCATTGTAATTTTGTTTTCCGGGGTTCACGGTATACAATCTAACATCTATGCAGCTGCGAACCACATGTCCCAACAAATGGCCACTATGAACCCTGCCATGGGGGCCAATCCATTCCAGCCTGGTCAAGATCCCGACAAATTGTATCAAAGTGAAGCAGAGAACTTGGAAGTTATGGAACATTTTTGCATTCTGGATGGCATTGAGGACAGAATACTGCACAACATTGCTTCAAAGGAGGGCCTCATTTGATTTGCCATAATCGCACCGGCCCTCGTGTCCTATTTTCTATAAACAACGGGTGTATTCAGAGAACAGTGATATACAGAATTGATGAAACGAGGTAACTTTGACGTATGCTAGGGGCCTGACCGGATGTCCGCTTAAAATTCTACTGCATAATGTGAGTAATTATGAAACGATTCTTCAGGAAACATTACAGTGATATATGTTATTATAAGGACAGGTGCATGCCGTTTCTTGACTCAAATTACACCAGCAAGCGGTTAGATCATTTCTGTATATCTATTCGTCACATCATTATGTACGAGTTGTAAAGCAAGTTTCAATGGTAATTGATCACGCCGTTCAAGATCCATACTTCACCATTGGATACTTGTTCTGCAATACTGTCAACCTCAACATTTCCCGGTTGGATCTAAAATATGTTAGCCCCTAAAGCCAAATCGCCAGGAAGCGGTGGTCGTACAAAGATCTTATCTCCATCTTTTGTCCAGCTCAACTTGTCTCCCCCGAGAGTTTTTACTTCGTCCCCTTCGTTCCAGGGGCTTCTGGGTACTATGTGGGCCTCTACAAAGCGTTTCAGGTTGCTTTTCGCTCGGTCTTGCCCTTCCTGCCCCTCATAGGCCTTTGCCTCTCCGAACTGTGCATAGTCATCCGGATTCTCCCAAGGCTTACGCGGAAGTCCTTGGACTGCACTGTTGCGAGGAGCAAGGACGGTTACATTCTTTGTTGCGTCGTTGAAGCGAGAATCGATGGGCTCGAAATCCCTTGTAAGAGAAGCAAAGATATTGATGCCACGGTTTTTAGGAAGAACATCGGATATCACAAGGCCATCACTGCCGGAATTCTGCGGCTGCCTGCTTCCCCCAGTAGTGCCTGTTTCAGGCGGCATAGCGATGTTAGGGGTCATTATGGGTTGTTGATTTTGAAGCCACTGCTTCAGTTCACCGTTCTCTTGTAGGCGTTGTTCGTGCCGTAAGTGAGGTAGATCGACAAACGGACGCGGAAGACGCTTGCGAAGAGGAAAACTTGAAGCTATGGATACTGTGCAAACAACCAGAAAGATTAAAAAGATCGGTGCAAAGGCTTGGTGTCGCATTTTGACAAGCAATAATATTATCAATCAAATCGTTCATGCCGGCCAACTAGCCAGAGACCCATGACGCAACTGTAAGTCCCTTCCTATCCTGTCACTGACCCACACGTGATATTGCGGAGGAAGTTCAATACACGTGACATTTATCGATAAGGGCAATCGACAGCCACAAAAAGCGTCATGTTCCGGTCGCGGAGGAGGGGATCGAGCCATTTACCCCTCATTTGAGACGCTCGCGAAGATGTCGGCATTGCAGACATTCCTGCTGGTCGTGGACCATGACAAGGAGGAGGCTAAGCAGATTGCTGAACGAATTGCTCAAGGTACCGCCACTCGATAGATCGTTGTCAAGATGGATGGGTTCTAACTATTGCTGGAAGATGTGGAGACCAAGAGAACAACCCTTATCGAAGTTGTTCAGTCTTTGGGGGAGTACATCAACGATGAGGATCCGATCTTGCGAGGCAAAGCAGTTTCCTATCTTACGGCTGTGATTAAATCACTCCCGTCTAAATTCCTTTCGAGACAACAAATTCAAGTCCTAACTACCTTCTTCTGTGACCGTATCGAAGATGGAGGAGCTGTCGCTGGGCTGGATATACTTCAGAAATTGGATCGCTTCAACAAAGCATTGGCAGAGGATGTAGCGCAAGCGTGAGTACATGCTATATATCTGATCTGTTTGGGGAGAGTTTCGTGAGCGGGTAGCGGACAACTACGAACCGTCGAAGATGGTGACTAAATTGGGAAATAAGTTGGCTAACATTGCCTAGGATTTTTGAACGTTTTCAAGACCTCCAGTCTCGATCACAATCCCAGAGGTTCCAGGTCTACCAGTTACTAAATGAATTGATGGTAAAGCATCGTTCGGGTGCGTGTTAAAATATTGCGATTCTGTTCTATCTTTCAAGCGCTAACAGAGCCTAGCTCTCCACGATATGGGAGAGCACTCGCTGGTTGGAATAGTGGACCTTATGACAGGCGAAAAAGACCCAAGGAACCTCATGCTTGTGTTTTCCATCCTGAAGGTCGTGATGATGGAGTGGGACATCTCCAACCACGCTGAGGTATGCGCTGTAACTCCACTAGGGTTGATGCCAATAGCTAACGGTTGAAGTTACTTTTTGACTCAGTATATAACTACTTTCCGATCACATTCAGACCACCGCCGAATGACCCATACGGCATTACAGCCCAGGATCTGAAAGATCGTCTACAAGAGTGTATCTCATCGACGAGTCTGTTTGCCCCACATTCTATTCCATCTTTGTTGGACAAACTTGACTCGACGTCACCGAATGTTAAGGTAAGATGATCATAGGCTTCTCAAGAAGCATTGCTGACAAGCCTAACAGAAAGATGCACTTAATGCATTGATTGCCTGTATCAACTCTTACGACCCGGATACTGTGTCCAGATATTCTATTACGATATGGGATGCCTTGAAGTTCGAGGTGCTCAATGCCCAGGAGGAGCTTCTATCTGAGCTGTCTTTGCAGGCTCTGCAAGACATTGCCAAGCGATTATCAGAAGGTGTCACGCAGGTCTCTGATCAGTTGCCTCTTGCACAATACATGCGGCCAATTACTAGGGAATGTAACGACCAATTACGAGAGCCACAGCAGAAACAAGCCAAGCCTGCACAACAGATTCTAGGCTTCATATCCGCGGCGTCCTTTGCATCATTTATGTTGGCTGTACAAGCAGTTGTCGCGCCACTTCTGACGGTCTATCAAGAAGCCGATGGCATCGCTAAGCAAAGGGCTCTCCTGGACACATTGGTGGTTCTTTTTGATTCCGCAATCAAGATTTTCGGTGAATGGGCGACCCGTACCCCTGAGACGAATACAGAAAACCCTCTACTTGAGTTTAAAGACCAGTTTTCGGACATCTTTGGCCAGGCTTTAATGGGCGTGATCAAGGAAGAGGTGTCATTCCGTGTCTCGGCTCTGAAGGGTTTGTTACGTCTTTCCACCATGCGCAATTTCTTCCAAGATAATGAAGTGGGGTTGTTTGTGCAGTATCTTGACGAGATCCTTCTAAAGGAGGAATCCATAGGCCGAGATGACCTAAAGAAAGAAGCAATCGCGGCTTTGACTGAGATTTCAAAGCACAAACCGAGGCTGATCATGGATATCACTTTCCCTGCCTTTGTGGCCACGCTTCCTGACTTTGATGATGGGACAAACTCCAATTACCTACCAACACTTGAAAGCCTCGCACAAATAAGTGTCGAGAAGGATATTTTTGAGACATTAGTTCGTCGCTTACTTAGCAAGTTGAATATCTTGCTGCAGAAAGAACAGCCAGGCTCTGTAGCCTACCCAAGGGCAATCCTTATTACGATTCTTTATGTCATGAGCCAGAGAAATATGGATCAAGATCCAAATCTGGAGCTGTACTATGACAAGATAGTGGTTAGCTTGTGCCGCCATGCTGCGGTTTCAGCTTCAGGAAAGGCTAACAACAATGTTTTGAACGATGCCACGGTCCTGGATACGCTTGGAAGACTCTGTAACCTCATTGTCCGGGCGCTTCCGAGAAATAAGCAGGATGAAGTTGCGGAGAGCGTCTATACGCTGTACTCTTCCGCTGACGACTTTTCACCAGTTCCATTTTCGCAATCAGCTAGTGATGATCAGCAGCGTACGATGATTATTTCAACGTATCTCCTTGCAGGGCTCCCGACGGATTGCGCTAATCTCCCTTATACCAGCCCCAACATGTCTGCTTTGCTCTTCGATGTGGTAAAGCGGACTACCACTGAATGCGTACCTGCAACCCATCTTGCGCTCTTGCGCCATCTTGCTCTTTTAGTGAACAAGTTCCTACCCAAGTCCGAATTGAGCCTTGCAGCAGAGTTGTTCGACACTATTCTCCCTGCTAGTGCTGAGGGGAAGAAACTTAGTCCCGAGCCTATCAAAACGCTTTTTTGGCTTTCAAAAGCCCTTATTTTGCGTCTTGCTCCAAAGACAACAGATCTTCTAACCTCTTTGCTGTCGCTTCTCTCATCCCAAGACGAAGTAACCATTACCACAGCTGCTCGCAGCTTCGCAATTCTCCTTAGAGATGACGACGTGCTCTCCGCCACGAACGGAGCCAACATCCGTCTACTATCGAAACAACGTGTTTTCACGACTCTGTTGCCTCTCATCTCAAGCAAAATCCGCGAAGTCAATGTTGCAGGTAGTGACTCTCCAACCCCCGGGCATATCAAGCCGGCACACTTGACGGCTTTGTCTGGAATTCTATCCACCATCCCCCCTTCTCTGGTAATGCCCGAACTCCCCACCCTCCTTCCTCTTCTCCTCCAAAGTTTGGACCTCCAAACATCGGACTCCCAGTCTGTCCGAACCGCAACCCTCGAGACCCTTGCCGTCATCATTCGCGACAGTGGTGTCGGGATCATTGAAGAATGCGGTCACATCCAGAGCCTGGTAACCCGCCTCCTCAAAACAGCAGAACATAAACCCGCGAGCGATAAGGCTGCCGCAGTGAACAGTCCCCGACTGCGTGTCGATGCCCTAAAGTGTCTTTTCTTGCTCGCGCAGACACCAGCCTCTGATGCCCCCGCCGTTGCTAAGGTAGGGAAACTATCCCCACTTCTACCGGTAAAGGCACAGGTCGTTCGGGCTTTGGGTTTCGTTCTGGATGACCCGAAACGTGATGTGCGTAAAGCTGCTGTTGATGCTCGAGGTGCCTGGCTCAGGGGTGTGGATGATGCTCCTGATGACGATGAGTAAATGATTTCTACCTTTGTGTGATTCTATATTGGTGTTTCAATTTATATATAAGGGCCTTTCTCTAACCGATTCAGGCTAGAGTGGTGAGGATTGAAAATGCATCTGATAAATAGAAATTTTTCGGGTTCGTCTGCCAAGATTTGGCAAGGGGCACGCATACAGGATACATGCAGATATGGCATGGCACAAAAGGGCAAAAGTAGAAAATACATTGTGAAGCGTGAGCTACATTTTTCGAGAGTTCTAAAGTGCACTATGGTTCGGCGAAAGGATATGGCTACCGTGATTCCCTAACAAAAATGCCATTTGATGTTCAACACTTTTAGAACTGTTTGCCTGGATCAAGGCCAACCAAGTTTTGGTTTTTGATTAATTAAGAGATGTAATACTCAAACAAGAGGCTCTAAAGCCGAGAAAGGAAAAAAAGATTAGCTGAGATCCACCGGGATCTAAGACTCAAGCTCCATCGGAATCGTGAAGAGGCTGGTGCCCTCAACAATCTCTTCGAGAGGGTACGAACGAAAGGATGGGTATTAATATATACATGATAAACGTATAATAACACTGTGGACACCGTTATAACTGCTTCCAGCTTATAAAGGCGGGGAGAAACGAATAAACTGACGGATGTGAACATGCGTCGAGAGGGTTAGTTTACACGAACCGGTTTCGTTCTAATAGTTGAGGTACAAGACAGCGACGACGGCCAGGATCAAATTAGGCGACCAGTTGCGAAGCGACGCATCGTCTGACTGCGTCTTAGCAGACACGGCACCTTTATTGGAAGTGTGGTTATTACCGGTATTTGGTTTATCATCATGTCTAACGTGTGAGACCGTAGAGGTCGCGTTGTTGCCCTTTGCGATACCCGTTGTTGAGTTATGCGGAGCTGTGTTGAAATCTGGGGAGTCCGGGTCATCATCGGGACGAGGCCCTTTTGAAGATGGTGCTTGGCCGTTGGGATGCTCAACAGTTATAAGCCCCGTATAGTTGATTTCTTCGTTTTGTTGGATTTTCAGAGCGTAATCTGAGCCATCTTCCAAGTCCTCGCTGGCCTTCCAGGTATATTCATTTCCACGGGCGTCACGCGTAAGGACATCCACATCGCTAAGGTTGTTCGCCGCGCCCCTGCGAAGGGTAATAGTTGTGGGCTGCAGGGTAACAATGTCAGAGTAAGATTAACGGCAGGGGATGGTCAAGTCCCAGACACAACATACAAGATCAGGGTCACCGATCCACTTTACAGTATTATCTTCACCAGCATGGATGACGCCTGGCCACTGAGTAAATGACAAGGCATCTATTACACCAGCATGGGCCAAGCAGGCAATGGTTGTGAATATAGATTCGAACGCGCGCATGGTGAATAGTTTATACCTTGTTAAAGGTTAGATAATGGGTGAGATATAAGCACTTGAAGTATGCAAGCAACGAAGAGATGGCAGCAGCACGGTGCAATAATAGTTGATGGCAATGCAATAAAGGGGATACAAAAGGAACTTCACTCAAGTGCGAAGTCCACACCCAGGTGTTCTCATATAAGCCTTCCTTAACCCTCACTTACAGATTTAGGCAAGCACGACCAACGAGGATGACTCTTCAGTAAATAACTAATGCTTTTAACAATGCTCAATGTTGAATGTGGCCCAAGGGTACCTCAGTGATGAATGGAATAGAAAGTCGATTGTGTCCCAGAGTGCAAGGACAGGGCGCCCCGGACATGTTTATAAGCCGTGGCTTTTGCCTGAAGGCCCCCATTTTTTGGCTTGTTTGTTATACTTCACCCAATCCTAGAATGAGGGGATAGTCTCCTAGTCACATTCTTGGTCACCAAGATGGTGGGATGGGTTGGTTACTCGCTGATGGGGAGAGCTCAGGGAATGTTGTGTCTTTCTTGTTCTTACATTCTTCGGGGATTCTCACTCAACTATGGCTGAGGTAGTATCATATACTGAGCCAAAATTATTATGTTACTTTTAACATACCAGCGTTAGGCCGAAGTTTCTACTAATTCTCCCTTAATTCATTTTTAACATTCATGGGTAATGAAATGAAAACTCCTAAAGCTCACAACTCACAGCAGTAACGTTCCGGGCATGCATGGTTTGAACTTGGCAGTTGCATTGGAGGCAATACCCATAAAGATGGGCGCGTCTTTTCAGAAGAAATACGGAGTAGTGCATGTAGAGCTCAGAGTCTTTAAGCTGATAAGTCTCCAAGCCATCTGAGCAATAGGGTACATTGGTCAGGTTTTATTTGGAGAGTACGTAGCCTTATCTAAATGTAGCCGCTGTGCCTACATGAAGGTGGGAAGGAAATCCCTGCTAAGGAATAAGCAGTGCAGCAAGAGGGGCTAAACACAGGTTGTGCAAAATTGCTCTTCCTCTTGAATGGTATGACAATATAGTATAACATTCAACCCGTTATTCGGGTGGATAAACTGCAGAGATTGAGTTCTGGTGGCTGATATATATAATAAACCCTAATCAGTGGTGGCAATACCGAGGATGTAGTTATTGTTTTTCAGGGGTCAACAGAATTGCCAGGTGAGAAATCTCTCACAGTTGGTTGCCTTGAATCTCCATACACGTCACATAAATCTGAGGTACATGGTACATATGCATGTTCTATGTTGCGATAGGTAGTGTTCGTTGGGTATATATGATTGATCTACCCATCCGCGGCGGCTAATCTTCTCTTCGTCATATCCACCACTATTGTCATGTACTCTCTCTTTCTCTCTCTCTCTTCTCTTCAGCGCGGTTCAATTTTCCTGCTTATACCTATCGAGTTTCTTGTAGATCATTATTATTGTCTTTCTCCTGTGCTTATTCCTCACATTTCGTTCGCGGTTCAAGTTTCTCCCATCACATATCCTTCATTTCCCTCCCTCAGTGGATAGTTACTGGTTTTTGGGCAGTGGCTGTAAGTTTATCATCCACAGCTCGCTACCAGTTCCCAGTGCCTTTCTTCGACTCGTGTGTCTTCCCTTATATCTATTACTGCCTTTTTTTCACGGCATCCTATCCTGATGTCTCAGCGATGAATAAGCACCAACAATAATTTTTCGTAAAAGCTCTGCTGCAGATCTCCTGCAATCAAAGGTCTTGATCCACTCCTTGGTATGTACGTTTTTTCCCCCTACCTATCCGGAATCTGTTGTGCATCAATTTATGCATGGCAAATATCCAAGTCCTGGGACCCTTCTGCACAACCGAAGTTTCATGATCCCGACGTTCAGAAACTCGTTGGCCGAGCCGTGAGGTGCAGAAGGCTGGTTTGTTGTGCCTGAGAAGTGAGGTTTGCTCCTTGCTTACAGCTCTAACTATACCTGCGTTTCCACTTCTGGTATTTCTACTCTTATTGTGTGATCACTCTTTCTACTTCATTCATCCTTTTTTCATGGATCCCCTTTTACGGTCATTCCCGTAGCTCCCAACATTCCAACAAATACCCACAATGCCGAGCATGGCCCGATTCGGTCGGGCCAAGAAAACGCCAAAAGCAGTAGCCAACAATGCTAACTCGGACATGCTTGTATCACCGACGTCAGATCCTCCGCGACGGTCCCCTCGTGTTAGTCTACCACATGTGGAAACGCAACTGAATATGCATCAATACAGTGGTCTTTTTGATCTCGACGCCCCGGAACGTCTGAAGGCCGTGGAGTCGTCTGCAGGTGGGTGGTTTTTTTTTTTTCTCCCCTTATCGGGCTCCGATTAGCCATCATTCCAATCAGACAAGTCACCAGTTGCTTATTGTGAGATTATGTGCACATTCTTACAGAGTCGATTACCTCGCATTCCTCGAACGCCCGAACAAATGGGTCAACACTTACGAACAGTGACTCAATGACAACTGAATGGTCTTCGGCAGTCGGTCACGCAGCCACGGGCAAGTCTGGTCGTGTCATACATAATCTACAGGAGGATATTGCCCGCTTGACGCGAGAGTGCAGTGTTTATCGTTCCCGGGCGGAAGAAACACAGCGCATGAACGATGCCTTCAAGACTCAGGTACAAAACATGACGGAACGTCTCCGGAACCTGGAGCAGGCACACGAGACGAACCTGCATTCGATCTCTCGCAAAGATAAGAAAATCGAGGAGTTACGCGCAGAGGTGCAGAGCGAAAAGGATAGACGACTGCGAGCAGAGACGGACACGAAAAAATTCCATCAACTGATGGATGAAAGCCGTGATGATTTCAATCGGAAATGCGCGGAGTTGCAGGAGATCGCCAACCATGCTCGGACCCAGTATGACGTGCTTGCTAAAGCTGGGCAACGTGAGCGGGCAGATCAACAAAGGAGGGTGAAGGCGATTCGCGATGAGATCGATGCTCTAAAAACACGACAAGAAGAAAAGAGTCTGCACCTTGAGCGCTTGGATGCTGTGATGGCCCAGAAAAATCGTGAGATTGAGATTGGCCGAGAAAATTTTGACAAGCTCTTTGAGGTGTACGAGTCCTATAAAAAAGCCCATGACGAAGAGGTCCACACACTCGTTGAGAGGGGTCGCCAGGGTGATGCCAATTTGAACGCAGCTTTGGCTTCTCTGAAGGAAACTGAAGATCGGATGAAATGGGCAATCCAGGTCAAGAACGAGGTCAAAGATGCCCATTAAAACTGGACCTATAAAGTTCGTGGCGCGTCCACGGTGGCCTTTTCTTTTCTTTAACAGGCAGCTAGCGCTGGTCGTGAAAGCCTAGGTGGATTAGCAGGTTTGTTAACAAACTACTTCTCGGTAACACTGTTTTCTACTTGTCTAACACTGGACAGTTTTCTTTCTTATGCTGAGGACACACCTATCGCAACCTGTCTCCCTCCCTAATGGACCGGGTGGTCTCGAACTTTGGGTGTAAGCCCCAGGTTGCTCTTCTCTTTGACCTGTTTATAACCCCCCTTTCATAATCTGAAAGCATTTCATTCCACTTCCCGGCGAATCTGTCCGGGCTCAATCGCTGTTATCTGGAGTTTGGGATTGTTTGATACCCTGGGGGAAATCCACTGTCATATCACCTTGCTTGTTAGATTGCATTTACAGTACAGTGATGCCCACAATGACTAGACTGATAGATATATTTTCAACATGCACATACAGGAAACTACTGTGAATTCACGTATTGGACAGACACGTGATGTCCTTCTTTGTATTCAGCTGTCTTTGGTCAAGGTTCCGACATTACCTGCCCCTTCCTTAGGTTGCCTAGCGGCTTACTATTAGAATTCTTCTATTTCTTTCTCCTCAGCCGTGAGTATTGATCAACTGCCTGTACCCCACAGCAATATTCAATTTGCGTTTGCGCATTACCAGAGAGTTCTTCACCGTTGGTTGCATCTACCCGTGCAGTGTTTGTCTTGTTCCTGGGAATAGAGTCTTAGATGCCAGGCTACAGGGCCTATTGTCACGATTCATCTCACCTAAGTTCCAAGGTCTCCTTCCGCTGTTGTCTTGGTGATGTGGTGATATTTATATCTGTCTTCCCAGCTCACTTTGCTTTTCCTTCACACTCTTCCCTTACTTGCTACCGCTACTGCTTCTTCCCATTCTAGTTTTCATAATATTCTCTTCTGCTTTACTTCGTTCCATCCTATAGTACTTATCTCTCATATATTTTCAAGCTACATCTCTCTTTGTAGTTTCCACTGCCTCCTTTGATGCGTGGGAGTTGCTTCTAGAATGGTACAAGGATGGCGAATGAACAGCGCATAACATTCGCGTCCATCTGGGCATTCGAGGACATTGGGGTAAAGAAACTCTCCCTAGTCTGTGAATGCAGGTCATTTGCTAACCAGAATGGCGATAGGTGCAAGATATAGGCATTGAAATGAAGTTCGCCCCTTACGTCCCCAATGACAACTCCGCCAATACTGATGTGCGCTATAGGAAAGCACTACCTCACCTGGATTACCACTGCGAATACCTGAGGCATGACGACGTAAGTCCTTCGAGAAACAACCTTTTCCACTGCATTGCTAATTCACTTATGCTAGCTCCTGGTGGTGAAAGGACGTATGAACGGCTCTGCAAAGAAGATCGCGGGTCTTGTTTCAACCTTTATCGAAGACCAGAAGAATAAGGATCTTCTTGATGTATGTCTCTCGCCTTTCTTGCCCAGAGATGACCGGTTGCTAATATGTCATAACAAATCTAAGATGCCACGTACTCGTCAACTGAATATTCCTATCATGCTTCGAGACGACGGAGCTTCTGTCCCAGTCGCTACTACCGAAGATAGCCTAGGGGGTCTCTTGGCTCTTGACATTGATTCGGATGTGGAGCTGATACATCAATCTCATCTAATGACTCATGTCACAAAATTCTGGCTATCGTCGCATGGAGGCATTGGGTGCTTTGCGACTGGTTTCCATGAAGTCCTCACTGAGATTGCAGCCGTGACAGGCACAAATATTACTATAATAGATGAGGTTAAAGGCATCCAAATATCTGGAAGTAGCGCTGGAGATGTTGACGACGCTGTAGCGAAGCTCACTCGGATTGAGAAACCCTTGGTACGTGACACGCCTCTTAAAGTATATCTAGACACTAACTACATATGTTTCTCAGTCTTGCCTTGTCAACCACAAGGTGGGCAACATGGGTATAGCCACAGAAGACAAGGCGACCCGATACATCATTCAGAATTATAGCAGCCTGAACCAAGTGGCTCTTCGCCGTGTTCTAGCTGACCCCGTAACGAGTTCGAATCTCGGTATCAGCCAGATGTTTGTCACTACCTCTCTTTCATTCGATGAGGAATCTCAGAGTTACATGCTGCCTAAGAACGTTGTGAATCCACGGCCAATTAGCAACGGGCCGGGGAAGTCCATAATATGGCAAAATTATACTTTCCCTGAGGTTGGCAAAGGGGATGAGTTCGTTCTATTGGAATCTGTTGAAGATACAAATGTTCCGGCTGCAACATCAGTGACCTTGCCCACTCATCCTTTTCTGACTGCCGAGAAGGCTAAGCAAGTCAATGAATGGGTCGCTGAGGGTAAGGAAATGGAGGTTACCAGCGAACAGCCTGAACACCCACCTACACCACCACCTGAGTTTTCAAGCAATACAACAGCAGCCCTAGGTGCTAAGAGAGGTCCAGCTATTAAGACAAGACGGCCTATTCCATCAGCTATACAGTCAAGCCAATCGGTTCCGTTGGTGGTACCAGTGACGAAATCTGAACGTGTCAAGGTCCCTGATCCTGTACCCAAGAAAGAAGATGCCTCCGCACCCCGCAGAAAATTCAAAATGACATATAGCATTGAATCGGGGAATACAGATATGCGTGTCAGCTTCTCTAGACCTACTAGCCCTTGTGAGCTGAGAGATGCGGCTGATTCCTTCCTTAATGCTTCGACACCTGCTGCACCGAAGCCACGCCCCTCCCTAATCTTCGACGAAACGAAGCATGGGCTCAATAAGCATCCCCCACGCCCTCCAGACAACAAAAATAGTGGTCAAACTTTCAAAGCTCAAAGCAAAAGTGATTATGTACCCGCTCGGACAACCAAAAAGCTCGACACAAACAATTTGCTTGTTGACGTGACCGCACCAGCAGCCATAAGTACGAATTCTCTTCCGATGATGCGTGCAGACCAGCCAGCTTTGATACCACTGAATGCAAACGTTGACTCCGAAAACACGGTTCTACAAAGCAATGCGCCATCGCGGATAAACAACATCACCCACGACTTGAGTGGCTTAGTGATGGAAACGGATTGTGGACCTCAAGATGACTCTGGCTGCCCTGTATTACATGAGGGTGCAAAATCAGGTAAAAATGACAATCTTTCAGAGCAGGTCAAAAGGCTCGTCATGTTGGAAGAGGCTTTCCTTGAGCAGACGAGAGAGCCAACCACAATTAGTGAAGCCTCGGCATGCGCTGCCAATCCTCCCAGTCCCCGAAATCAAATAAATGCGGTCCTGTCAAGAAGGCGACTTGAAGAGCTCGAGAGACGACACAAAGCGGAAGGAAAACAACCAAGCGATGAGGTGACTACCAGGGAATTTCATCATACAATGAATCACAAAGCGCCTAAGCCAAGTCACAATGTCTCAAGTAAGTCTCCGAGAAAAGCGAAAAGGCAAGCCACTCTGGAGGATGCCTGGGGAATACCGAAAAAGCCGACAAAGAGCCGGATCTCAGACAACCCAACTCCATATGAAAATATGGGGCCCAAGAATATATCTCCCCGACACACGGCGCAGGAAGATGTGCAACATGCCCGAAAGGTGCAAGGAGAGCTGAGTATGAATGAGAGTATCAAACAGCTTTTTGAGATCCTAAAACCTACATTGAAAGCTGCCGAATATTTCCCTGGGTCTTTGACTTTGGAGGTTCAGATTGGTCTCGCATTGATTCCAGTTCTGCCGAAGACCTACAAGGAGGGTCTCATCTCCTTAAGAGAGTGGACAGAGATAATGCAACCACGGACTGGCGTATCTGCACCAACTACCAAGTTCATTGATAGGCTCACAACATCGGGACTGGATGTTGATCATATTGTGGACCTTAAAACATCAAAAAATGGGAATCGCCGTTTCTTTGAACACGAAGACAACGAGTATAGTGTTTTCTATGAGTTCCATTGCCTCTCTAAAACAGATCAATCTATCATTGTCGAAGTTGATGGACGCGGAAAATATTCCATCAAGAAGCCAACCGAAGCACTAGGTGCAGTCAATATTCACTTTCCTGGTAGTATCTGGGATGCTCGTATGATTGTCCGTGGCAATATTGCATATCCTATCCAAGGATATCAAGAATTTGAAGACGCCGCCCGATATTTGGTGGACCATCTCTGGGTCCAGCCCGACAAACACCTCGTCCATCTTTACACTAAAACTTCCAAAGACAAACATCTGACTGTGGACAAAGTTCTTATGAAGCGTTGGACCCGCTATCGGTATATTCGTTCGAACGATTGCTCCTCTAAAGGCATCAACACCCCCGACACTTCGTCATCGACAGGAGGAAAAGCAGATTCCGCTGCTGATTCTGCGGGATCCAAGAGTGCAGCAAAAGAAATGAACAGTGTCGACAACGGTGGGACCCCCGAAGCACAAGAGCTTCAACTGCAAGTCACAGAAGTACAGGATCTATTGATAGGGTCCAGCTCCGCGGACACTCAAGCAATAAGAGCACGTTGCATTCCACTGGCGGAGATGATACGCAGGGGGAGGCAATGGTATGAAGTTTCGCTTGTTAGCTCTGCCATTGATGCTATATTGAAGACTAATGCGAATATCGAAATTGGAGAGCGCACGCACGATTGGCGTAGCCTTGACCTGCTTGGAAACGACGCTATTTTACTGCAAAGCAGCATACCGGGTCCAGATTCAGCATTGCCATCTAGGCCGGTCGCTACTGCTGTGGGGGCCGCAGGTATTGGTGATCTCCTCCGCCTAACGAAAGCGGTAGTTCAGAACATGGATGGTGTTGGATTTTGGAACTGTGGACCTTGTGGTGATGTTGCCCGGATGCCAGTGACCGGTTCTCTGAACGCCTTAAGTATCCCCAACAGACCTATCACATCATCCATGGATGTCATAGCAAAGACAGAAAGGAAGAGCTTGAACTTTGACGAATTGGAGAGTATCAAGGAAGTGGAAAGTAGCATTGGGAGCGCCCCAGCGGCTAACAAACCGAATGCTGCCTCTGACCTGAAGAAGGAACAGATTGAGATTGATTACTGGTGATGGGGCCATATGTCACTCTTTCGTCGTGTCGCTTATGCTTTGGTCATTCTTTGAATTGATTCTATGGGGTGCTTTCTCATGGAGCATATGGGACGACACCACGCAGCCCGCGTCTCTTCAATAATCGATGGGGATCTTGATACACGTATGTTGGAGGCATGATAGCCTGCAGTATATTCCCGTATTGTGTTCTTCTAATCTCGTAGTCCTAGTGACTGTTTGACTTCTGCTAGGTCAATCCCGATCCAAGAATTTCCATATCCCAGGCCCAATAAACTTACTGCTGTAAATAGACACATAAACTCCGGGGATAATAGTAGAAGTACCTGGTCCGGGCTGGAGAGATTTTGCAATCTTCAAATTTTTTTAGCGTTAGAAGTTCAAATCATTTTTCCTCCAGATTGCTGGCACATCCATGATGGCTTTTGACATGATGGAGAAAGGCTTGATCTTGCAAGTAGCAAGAAATTGGGCTCATGGATTGGTAGAGGCGGGGGTGTTCGGCATTGCTCCAAGCAACACAAATGCGTGCAGAAGGGGGCCTAAATTCCTGCGGTCGCCAAATCGGACAGCGATTGCTAATCGCACCCCATGACACTCAGTCACCGCTTTTCTCTCCCTTGTTGCCTTCTGTCATGTTAATAGAAGTCAACGTGGTATACAACTTCTCATTGTGGTTGCCTCTATGAATCTCACACGCCGCAAAATCGGTGTAAATACCTGAGTACTGAAGAACACATTGACGCTGACCATGACTCAAACTTGCAACTCTATTCTAGTCGCATTGGTTGCTTTATTTGCTGGCTTGTTTGCTTTCTATCGCAATCAGTTCGACAGTTTGCTAGCTCCAAACAATGAAGGCTTCGAATTTACTGTGGGTGGAAGACGATTGATCTCCCCACCGACCGTGACCGACCCTGCCCGAGATATAAAGTACCTGGGCAGCTATTCCTTGGGAGTTGAGCATTATCAAAACATTTTTTATGCAGAGGCACCATGGGGCAAACGCCGCTTCGCACCGCCCATTCCGTTCCAGTACGCGAGGGGATCGGTTGTTGATGCCACTCGTCCTGGAGCCTGGTGCCCGCAAGGGATGGGAGATGTGCTCCCTTTCACAAGCCGGGTTGTAAATATCAGTGAAAATTGCTTGAGCTTGAGGGTTGCTCGACCGACCGCTACCAAAACCGATGAGCGGTTACCGGTAATGGTGTGGATACATGGAGGTAAAGTGATATTCACCATTGCAAATAGAGCACTCCTGGGGATCCATTGAGTTCCGATGCATACTAATGCGTCTTAGGCGGCCATGCTCTAGGTTCTGCCTCTGAGGTCTTATACAATCCAGACGGATTGATAAGGCAATCTGTTGCGGACGGCCAGCCACTGATTTACGTCGCCATTAATTATCGTCTTGGCTGTAATGCATTCTACCCTTTGATTGAAGCTATATCTAATTGTATACCTAGTTTTTGGCTTTGCAACCAGCAAGACAATGGCTGAAAATAAGCAGACGAATGCTGGTCTTCGTGACCAACGGGCAGCTTTGGAGTGTATGTAGCTACCTAACAGTCCTCGCCTTTTCATTATAAGGCATCTCACACCGTTAATTATAGGGGTCCGTGATAATATTGAAGTCTTTGGTGGAGATCCACAAAGAGGTGATATGATCTACTAAGTGACGGCTTACCAGTTGTAACTGACGTTAAGTTCTACAAGTGACTGTCGTGGGACAAAGCGTGGGCGCCAGCGATATTGGTCTACATTTGACATCATTCGAAGGAACAAAAGGAGTTCCGTTTCAACAAGCGATGTAATACACCTGTGAGACAAAAAAATACGTCTTGCGCTGACTTGGAGATGTAGTATGATGTCGGGTGGGCCAGGCTTGAACTTTAACAGCAAGTCAGACTTGGTCGCAAATAACACTGCAGACATCGCGAAAAGAGTTGGGTGTGCTAAAGAGGGCGAGGATCAATCTCCAGAGACCTTGGAATGCCTACGAGATGTGTCCTTTGATGTTTTGACCAATATCTCTGTAACGGCATCTCGGAAAGCCCGCCCACCATTCGGCGAGGGCTTTTTCTTCCCGACAGTTGATGGTGACTTCATCCGTGACCGGCCTTCTCAGCTCATGCGTGCCGGTAAATTCGTGAAAGAGATTCCGGTGATCGCATCCTGGGTGACAAATGATGGTGCCTGGTATGCATCACCGTCGACTTCCACAGATCAGCAAGTATTAGACAGCTTTGGCTTGTGGCTGTTTAGCCTTTCCAATTCCACAAAAGAGAAGCTCCTGCAAATATACCCACTCGAGGACTTCGAACATCTTGTCCGGAAAGAATATGATGGCCCTATCTCTGCACAGTACTACCGCGCAGCGCAGATGAACAAAGACATTTGGTTCACCTGCCCCGTGCTTGACTTTGCATGGCAATACTTCAAAAATGGGGGCGCGAAACAATCGCAGGTTCGGCTATACGAACATAACTCCACAAGATTCACACCCGCGTTCGAGATGATGGGCGTCCCGATGTGGCGTGTTGCACACCTTAGTGATATTCCCTATGTATTGAACGTCCAGCATCTGGATGGGGGTACAGACAACTCAGCTGCCGAGCTCGCGCTGGCCAGGACCATGAGTACGTCCATAACCAAGTTTGTAAATAGCGGCAGTCCTGAAGGTCATATTGGTGGCGTTGAGACATGGCCTGCTGCTTTCGTTGATGTTGCAAAAGAGGACTTGCAAAATGATTTTCCGGGAAAGCTTTCATTGCAGATCTTTGGTGGCCCCCATGGGACCATGCCTGTGACTATTGCCGAAGGTTCTCGGCATGATGCTAAAACTGCTGCTGAGGAAGCGGTGCACTGGGAGAAGCTGTTCGATCGGTGCGGATTCATCAACAGCGACAAGATGAGAGAAGAAGCGGGAGTCTGAGAAGTTGATTGATTTATTATTATTATTGTTTTCTTTGTTGCTTTCTTTCCTTCCTTCCTTCCTTCCTTTCTTTCTTTTTT